CAGTGTTCACAGACTTTTTTTTACCCCTTTGCAATTTAGATGTATGCTAGAAAAGAAGTGTACATTGCACATCATTTGTCTACTCCCTTCATTTGCTGATGAGGTCCTTCTTGTTGAAGACTTTACCTTACTTTACTTTTTTCTTCCGCTTGTACCCTGAGGTGTCGCGAGGAGACACAGGTGTCTGTCTGCAGCAAGTCGTGGGGCCTGTAGGAGGGACATCCCATGATCTTTAAGGGTGTCTGCCACAGATTCACTCCATCGTCGCCTTGGTCTTCCTCTGGCTCTCCATCCAGAATATTTAGTGTTGTATGCTCTCAGAGCTGGATGGTTTGAGGGCATCCGCGTGAGGTGTCCGAACCACTTGACCTTTTGTTTTTCAATGTGTGGTAGGGCTGGTGTTGCTCCCACGCTGTGCCTTATGACTTCATTTTTAATTTTGTCTCTTCTTGTTTTGTTGACCGCTCTTCTTAAGCATTTCATCTCGCATGTGACCAGTTTCCTCTCCAGGGCTTTTGTTAGAGTCCATGTCTGGCACTGATATGTGAGCGTTGGAAGGAAAATGGCGTTGATGAACTTCGCCTTGGTGCTCATGGGGATATTGGGATGTTTCAGGAGAGGGCCCAGTTGGTAGCTGACTGCGTTGGCTCTCTGGCATCTAGTCTCTATCTCTCGATCTAATTTTCCATTTTCTGTGAAAATGCTGCCCAAGTATTTGAATTCTCTGCTTTGTTTTAGTTGGGATCCATTGATGTTGATATCCACTTTGCCTGGTCTCCTGCTAATTGGCATGACTTCGGTCTTGCTTATACTGATCTTCATGTCATATTTTTCGCAGCTCGCATTTAGTTGGTTTATATGCTCCTGTAGCTGAGTCTTGTTGTTAATCATTGCCAGGTCGTCTGCAAACATGAGTTTGTTGAGTGCCTCTGGGTCTGGATTGGCCTCTTTTGTTATCTGGTTCATGTAGATCACGAAGAGCAGAGGGGATTGCAGCCCTGTCTCACTCCGGATGTTACTGGAAACCAGTCTGATGTTCCACTGGTAGTTCGGACAGCGCTTCTGCTGTTGGCATAGATAGCCCTGATGTTGTCTAGCAGTTGTCCCTTGATGTCGTACTGCTCTAAGATCTTCCATAGCTTGTTTCTATTTACTCGATCAAAGGCTTTTTCTTGATCCACAAATACGAGGTGGAGATCTTTGTCGTATTCCAAAGCCCTCTCACACAGTTGTCGGAGTGCGAAGATTGCATTAGTGCACCCTCTTCCTTTTCTAAAACCAAATTAGGCATCAAGAAGATGTTCGGTTTTTGCGCGAGTACGTCGCTCTAGGATTTTTGCATACATTTTCCCCGCATGGCTGAGAAGAGATATGCCTCTATAGGTGTTGCAGACTTTACCAAGAATAGAAAAACAACTTACCTTTATGTAGGGAAGTCTGCCCACTTCAGTATGAGGCAGATGACGCTCCATCCAGTAGTCTCTCATTACAAAAATGACTACACCGACTCATGACCGACACACACTTGACAATGATATATTCATTCATACAACATCACCCATGATTTTAACATGGTTAATCACATGACAGTAGGACTTGACAATGTGACAAAACTGAAAGACCCCCACTTTCAAACTCACATCTCTGCCATACAAGTCAAATAATGTGAGGCATCGTGGTGAAATCAGGCACTTGTCAAAATAGTGAAATCGAAGGAGCAGGCTATTTTCTGCACTGCTAGAGTTTGACTATTTTAATGAAAATTTTGTTTTTTGACTCAACGCCTTTTATGTCCCTTCAATCACAAATATCTTGACTTCTCTTCGAGATTAATGGGTATTGTTTTCATCGAAAGAGACAAAAATAATTAAGCTTTCAGATGGTACCAATAACCCCACATGCCCAAAACATGAATGCCTGATCCGACCGCGTCGTGACAGATTTATATTTAATTAAGCCTTCATGAGGATTTTATTGCTTTTGTGTTTCTTTTCTGTATTCAATTGCCAGTCCAGTGATGTGTGGTTTGTGGTTTTATTTGTATAAATAAGGAATTTACAAGTATTTCTGATAACCCCCCTGATATCACAAAAATCTCAAAATTACTCTGCTTCTGAGGCAAAATAATGCTCCTTTCCGAGGGTTAATGTACACAGTGTTCTCTTTTTTACCACACACTGTTACTTGGTTTTCTGTATTTATGTGATGTACTTTTTGGCAAAATAACCTTCCAAATGATATTAATTAATTTAATTAATTAATTTATTTTTCCAATTTTCAGGGGAGATAACCCTATAATTAAAAATTATTGTTTAGCCTCTAACTTGGCTATCTTTCAGTGAATTTTCATAAAAACCTGTACTCTAAAACATTTTAAATTACTTTTTAATATTACAAAGAGCTCAGGAAAGTTCTGTGCTTTGTTTGACAATTATAGAATGCTATACTTCATTTTTTATTTTAAAACGGCATGGTTGTGTAACAAATTGAGTAATTTGGGTATAAATCTTGTGTTTCCAGCATTTTTTCTTCCTATGTAAGCTCTTTGACTCATATGACCTTAGCAGTTGCGAGCGCCGTAAAACCTTATACTATACATACTAAGCTGTTTGGGTGTTCTGCGTCGATTGTGAATGTTTTTGTGTTGTATTTTTGTACTTTATGTGATTTACGAAGAGATTGCAGTAAGCTTCTTCATTTAGTGAGAATCAAGGGGAGTTAACTTTGAAGGTCTCTTACGCACACTGCGATGAGCTGACGCTCATAAAATATGCATTTCTAGTATCCTGAAATGTTAAGCTTTCAAACAGTATATCATATGTCATGTTTTATAACACTTCATATTTGGTCAATTTTGGGAAATGCTGAGCACCCAAATTGTGAAAGCTGCCAAATCCAGATAAAATCAATTGAAGAATTTAACGTGCTAAAGTATAAGATCACCGGAAGTGTATATTTGCAACGCCGCATTGCGTTTAGCTCCAGTGCTAAATAAAATGCCGATTTGCGATTAGCGCCAGTGCTAATTAAAACGCCGTGTGTTAGATATCTAGGAATAAGGCTTAGTCTACGCTTCGTTGTTGGAAGTTCTGATAGCCGAATTGAGAGCGCGTCTGTGTTTGAACCCCTTTATTTTTTTTTATGAGTGTGGGTACGAATCCCGGTCCTGGAAGTTTTTTTGTTACTTATCTTTTTTTCTTCTTCTTCTCTTCCTGGCTGACCAACACTTTTTTCCCATAATTATAATTAACTTGTTGCTTTGCAGTTTTAAAAAAAATGTAGAGATCTAGATCTAGAATCTAGTGATGGAGCATGCACATTCTGGTTTTGTCCGCAAGAGGAGCTTTTACGCAAAGTGGGTCTAGAATATAGATCTAGATCTGTACTTTTCCTTTTACCAATTTAGGCCTGGTTTAAATTCAATATATAATTTAATATAATATATTTGTCGCTTTCCTTGGTCTGTGAGTCTAATTATTTTTAAAAAGTAATTTTTGGCTCAGAAGAAGAAAAAAAAAACCTTCCGGGGCGGGGATTTGATGCCATGCTTGGAAGCACTGAACATTAGAGAACGTAGACAGCTTGCATGTGATACGTTCTCTAGGACTAACGTTAGAGAATGTAGATCTTGACACTACCCCCTGCGCCGAAGCCTAGGCCCTGAAATCTAGATCAAGCAATGTCATGTGTGATGGCAAAACATGAAATCCACGCAGAGATAGATCTAGATCTAGATCTAATAAATATTTTTTGGTGGGATAGGTCCCACCCTAAACACAACAGACATGACCCCTACTACATACTAAATAGAGCAGACCAGGTCACAATCTTTAGACTCCGTTGTGGCCACCACAGACTCAAGCACCATATGCCTACCAAATTAAAAGTGGGAGAGTTAGCGATCTGTGAATGTGGACACGACCAAGAGGATGCCAACCATATCCTTCAGCACTGCCCACGCTACGCCACCCTTCGCATACAGATGTGGCAGAAAGTGGCTCCCCTTGAGAGAAAGCTCTATGGCAGTCTCTCAGAGTTGAAGCGAACTGCACGGTTTGTGCGTGACATCGGACTGACTTTCTAGCTGCTGTCATCGAGAACGAGGAAGAAGAAGAAGATGTCTGAACATTCGGTAAATTTTTACTTATGCACCCACACACAGATGCATTGATTTGAGGGCTAAACTGCCATAATATTTGCTGTAGAACACACATATGGCCACTAAAACCCTTGCAAATCAATTGTTTTTAAGTAAATATATCAATCCTAATTGCCAAAACATCAAATCATTGTGAAATGTAGGGGTGGGGGGGGGGGGGCATGCCCCCCCTAAAACCCCACTAATTCTTTTTAGGTCAGGGGGGCATACCCCCCCCCCACCATGTTGTTAAAATTAAGTCAATTATTACATTTTCAAACATCAATAACTCAATAACTATTGATTTGCAGGAAACATGAAGGTCATATTCGTGTTCAGCATGCAAAATACTACTAGAAAAAAAAGTATACAAAACATGTACATAAGATGGGTGCATGAGTAAAAAAAATGAAAATATATATTCAGATAGGCCTACATCAATTGTGGTTGGGGCAACATTCCCGGACTATACTTCTTTTGAAAATGCAGAGGAACTTGTATAGAAAATCGAAAGGATAGAGTGGTTATTCAAGGTTCTTTTATTGTCTCTTTGTTGGTGTTGTGAGCATTACAATTTTTGGGCAGCAGTGCACGACCGTTCTCAGTGGGTGAGCCGCCCCTGCCCACCCACTACCCCGAAAATATCCATGCAGGCCTATACAGTACAGTTGATACTTAAGCCTAAAGTGCGCGCTCATATGACCTTAGCAGTTGCGAGCGCCGTAAAACCCTATACTAATACATACAATTAATAAAGGTTGCAGTATGTGAGATTTCTCTCATGTTCTCAGCTGTACTGTCCAAAAGATGAAATCATTCTGTTAAAAGTAATAAATATTACTTGGGCTTTGACTTTTCTCAGGTACCAGCAGGGAAAAGTTCAAGATGAGTATGAGTGAGCAGATGAAGTTCATTGTTCAAGAGTTGAACAAGGAACCATTCAACAAATCGTACAACTTAATCTCCTTTGATTCCCTGGAGCCGCTGCAACTGCTACAAGTTCTTAATGATGTCCTGGCGATCATTGACCCTAAGGTGAGATTCTGACATTCATTAATTCTCATACACCATATACCCACCCAAACACACTCATAAACCTGCAAACACTATAACAGGCCCATTAATTCTCACATACATAATGCATTTTGTTACAAGTTTTAATAAAGACACAGGAACCTTTTTTTTTACTTTGGAATTTTTGATGACTCACTTTGGGGAGAAGATCATGAGTTTTTACTTCAATATTGAAAGATTTAGATGTAATACTTCGTTTTTAAAATCTTTCGAAGTATCTATTCTCAGAAATTATGATAGGTAGCATGACGTAGTCAGGAAAGTGGGAGGTTGAAACATAAACCTCAGGTATACTGAAACTACATCACCTATAGGGTCCTATTGCTTAATATGTCACAAACATGAGAAAAATTCTCCTCAAAGCCTATGCAGAGGGTAAAACAGCTGGACTTAAATTAAATACTTAAAAGACCAAGAGATGCACCCCCATTGACACAGTTGTAGATCATTTAGGAGGTCAATCATGCTCAAAATATATCAATGGAACAAAACTGAAGTATGTAAAAAAAAATTTGAAGAATCTAGGTTCAGTAAAACCAATATCTGAATTTTTTTCTAGAGAATAAGAATCCTGAATGATTTTATTTAATGGCAGATTTTATAGCTGCTGTTTTTTTTGTGTGGGTTTTTTCTTTAGCAAAAACTGGACATCAGAGAAGAAGCTCCTGATCAAACGGCCGTCAGGGTCTTCCAACTTCTGCGAGTGCTGAAATACAAACCCCCGGACCATGTGAACATGTAAGTACCGTAGAAATACGGTGGAAACCATATATAACAGGCCCGGTAATAACAGGGATTTTTAAAATCCCCGTTTTCTCCAACTTTTTGTCTCTATTAAAAGTTATCAGCAATAACAGGGCCTCATCGGATCCCAACCGGTTATAGCAGGGACAAAGGCTCGTTAACAATGTGTAAAAAGTAAGAGAGAGAGAGAGAGAGAGAGAGTGACGCAGTGATGGAGCAAGCCCACGCAAGCCATGCCACTGCGAGCACAAGCAGCGTGTGAAGCGAGAGAGGGCTGTGGTGTGCTGCAGACCTTGACCTAGCCCGAAACCTAGCAACACGCTCGCGTAATGTGTCACCAACAATGTCAAGTGCAAGAGAAATGCCTTTCAATTAACAAAAAATACGAAATAATCCAGGCTGTTGACAAAAAGCAAGCTTCACTGGCAGAGATTTGTCGTCATTTCGACATTCCACAAGGGTCGATTTACACCATTATCAAGGATAGAGAGAAGACATTGGCAGCATACTCCAATGGAAAGTTTGCTCTGGATCGAAAGAAGATGAGACTACCCGATGCAGATGCTGTGGACCAAGCTCTCCTGATGTGGTTTATTACGAGGGCTGTCCCACGGAAAACCGGAAAATGTCCACAAAAGCAACAATCTGTGTCCTGTTATAATAAAAATGTAACACATCATACCTCAATATGTGCTTTATTTCTCAATGTATTCACCATCCCGCTGGACGTATATTTCCCTCGCTGGATCAGGGAGAAGATACGCACCCTGAAGAATTTTACGTCAAGGGATTTCAACCAATCTTTCACGGCTTCCACAAGGTCTTCGTCGTCGGTGAATCGCTGTCCAGAAATATGGGGTTTCATTGGTCCGAAAAGGTGATAATCTGACAGGGCCAAGTCAGGACTATGAGGGGAGTGTGGCAGAACTTACCAGCTGAATCTTTGGATCCAGTCTTTCGTAGCATTTGTGTTGTGTGGCATTGCGTTGTCATGCTGCAAAATGACCCCACTGGACAACCGGCCTGGTCTTTTTCGGCGCACAACCTCTCTCAACTTATCAAGAGTCTGGCAGTATCTGTTAGCATTAACAGTTTGTCCTGGTTCCAGAATGTCAAAAATCAGAACACCCTTAGCACCCCAGAAAACCGTGGCTATGAGTTTCTTCACCGATGGCTGAACTTTAAACTTTTTCGCGGGAGGTGAAGACGTGTGCTTCCAAACCATTGAATCCCTCTTCGTCTCAGGGGTCATGTGGTGTATCCAAGTCTCATCACCTGTAATAATGCTTCTCAGAAATGCTTCATCGTATTGTTGGAGGTCTTTAGATGCGTTCATGACTCCCGTGGCAGCTTGGCGACAACGATTCAACAAACAAAGTCTGAGACACTTCAACACGTTGCGTCTTGTGGTCAGCTGTCAGCTCTGTTGGGAACCATCGAGCAGACATCTTTCGATAGTGCAGCTCTTCAAACACTATCCTATGGACAGTTGACTTTGAAATGTTTAGCGACTCGGAAATTTCGCGAATTTTTAGGCGCCTGTCTGTTTGAATGAGTTTGTTAACGCGACTCATGTTGATGTTGTCCTCAGTCTTGGCAGAAAAACAAGGTCCTGCATGAATTTGTCATTGACATCCGTACGCCCGGTTTTGAATTTACTGCACTACTCATATACCTGTGACTTTGCCATTACTTTCTCCCCGTAAACTAACTTTATTCCAGTGTGTATTTCTATAGGTTTGACACCTTTTGCGGTCAGAAACTGAATGACAGACCTCACTTCTACCCTTGACTAATTTTCCAAGGGGGTAGCCATCTTTGGAGAACTGCTGTGTTCGTTTGGTTTGTGCGATGCTCATGGTGCTCAATTGGGAAATTCCTAAATGATTGTTTTACAGATATGCGTTTACAGAATGTGAAAATATTGAATAGTTTTCAAATTACAGCCAAATTCCGGTTTTCCGTGGGACAGCCCTCGTAGGAGGCAAGGAGAAAGTCGGTGCCAAAACCCCTGTTCGTGGGCACTTGTGGCAAGGATTACTACCCATGAATAAGTACAGCTGGATTAGTCCACAAATGCATTTCTGATTTAACAGGGATCGGATATAACAGGACATTTTCTCTACTCCCACCATCCCTGTTATATCAGGTGTCCACTGTAGTTCGAAACGGCCTTCTAGTATTGATAGAAAAGCGATTGTCTCAGACAGGTGGCTGATAGGGCAGGTTCGACAACTGTTGAAGTGCTTAAAGAGTTGGAAAAAATTCTGTACCTTTGTATAAGAACTTATTAACCAACATCACTAAAAGATACAAATAGGATGGGTATATTTTGTAAATCTCTCTGCGTTTTACATTTCTAAGTTTTTCTACAGATGATGCCATTTAAAAAGAGGCCATTATATTATATATATAGTTTCCAGCCTTTCACAATATGCATGTGAATGCTTTCAGTTTTCTTGACTTAAACATTTGCCTCATTCGATTCCATGTGTGGGGAGAATTTTTATTGAGTATCTCATTCTTTCTTCTGAGATGTATCCCTCTCAGTCTGGGTTGTCCCTGACAAGCAGAAAAGATGCTCACCTCTTAACTCATTCACTACGTACTATTTTGGGCTTCTGAACATATTTTTGGGGGGAGGTCAAAATGAGATGATGACTAGCGTGCTGTTCAAAGGTCTTTGGGGCCACAAATTCAAATAAATATCAACATATTATACACCGAAATTTTCAGTATAAGCTGTAGAATACATCTGTATAGTTTATTTGTGTATTTTACAACTTTTGTTCCTGTAAGAGGCGATTATGTAACAAAATTTGCTTGGATGCGGACAAAACTTGAAAATAAAAATTTAATCATCTTTGATGAAACTAAAAGAATTTTCGCACCAAGTCAAATGATACATCAAAATAACCATAAATGAATATAGAACTGGAAAATATTGAAAAAGTTGCACCCCCAAAAAAGTGATTTTGGGGAGAAAAAAATACTTTGCCATTTTAGATGTAGACCTAGATCTAGAACTGAAAAATATTAATTTCTCAATAACAGAGCAATGGCAATTTGAGTCCAGTAGTATCAACATTCTAAAGAAGAGTCCTACATTTCTTTAGTAAGCAAAATAATGATACATTTTGTACTAAGACGGGTGTCTGGGCTATAATCTGGGCATTGCGATAAAACAGTCGTATAAACTTTGAAATTGTGTTTTAAAACTGAATCAGAACATCTGATTTTTGGTGGAAATGCTTGGCCCGGAAGTCAATGTTATATTATAACCTTTATTTTAACATGGGTGTATGTGGATTGGAATAAAATCTAAGCTAGAATTATAGGTAGATTCTCGAGCTGTCGGGGGCGGCTTTCCGTAACGAAGTAACTTAGCCAAGTGGCTGCCCACGGCTCAGCGTAGCGAATGAATTAAGTTGTATACATTGTTTCAATGGGGGTGTAAGAAACACATACAGGGTGAAAAAACAACAACTGTACAACTTATTTTTTTAATATCTCACACAAAATTTGTACTACAATGTTGTAATTTGAAACAGATAATATTCATTCAAAAGGAATTTGTTTGACATAAAATTCACAAAGAAGAAACTTATTTTTGAAAACGGAAATGGCTTTTATAAAATCCACTTATAAATTCAAAATGTACCAATGTAAAAGATCTTGTAAAGAAGGTCCTGGAATGATTGGGATTTTTTCCCCTTCCTTATTTTAAAAAAAAATCTAATATTTCCACCCCTGTAACCTTTGAACATTTCTTTTTTAAAAAATGTTTGGAATTCTGAAATTCTGAGAACAATTCGTCCCTCTAAACACGTACTAGCGTAAGCCACACCGAAATCGAGTTATACCAATCACGCGATTCCCATTATCCGATACTACATCCTCTCAAAAGATAGTGGGAATCGAGCCATAAATAGCTGAGATATAGTCGATTCCAGTTTGAACGTATCCCACTTGCCCACAAAAAGATACAGCACGTACTAACACACTGTTGGTTATGCTAGTACGTGACGTACACTTTGACCCATTGTTGTGTTTTTATTTTATGGCACATACTAACGTAAGCCACACAGCCAGGGCTGAGCCTATGGCAAAAAAACACAGCGCAGCGCTTCTAGAGAGCGGGAAGACAAGCTAAACTACACACTCACACACGACATGTACAGTGTGCTTCGTGTGAGACAGTGGATGCTCAGATTTCACTTCTAGAAGTCCCTTTTTACTCGTCCTTTGTTTACAAATGGGTTCCCCCTCTGAACAACCACTCTTTCTTTGACATGTAGCCCGTCTGTTCAAACTCTGATTACCATTCAGAACCCTGGTGAAGTCTTAACTTCACAGACTGCATAAGTCATGGGTGTCCTACTGCCACTGAGAACTTTAAGGGACAAATAGATGCACGTATGTGCTTCAAGGACACTGATATGCTTAGTGAGGCTGACAGTGATGAAATGTCAGTGTGTGACTACGACTCAGATGGCGATCCGGAATTCAACCCTGGAACAAAGCGAGGCCAGAAGGTGCAATGCTGAAGTATGGGCGGCTTGTCCTGATTGTGAAATCCTTCTTTGCTTTGATCATTTCAATGAAGAGATTGCATCGTGTGTTCAACATGGGAAAAGCACAAGAAGGTCAAAAAGAAAAAAAAAAACAACGTATAAAAACTGTAGGTAAGATTCTCGCTGGTGTGAATGTGAACACGGATGCTCCCAATCAGTTTCAGACAAAGGAAACAGTCATTGATGTGGGGGTTGGAAGAATGCAAAGATCAGTTCCCGAGCAGTACACAGTGGGGGGGAAGTGAGAAAGAAGTTAGTAAGGAAGAGAAACTCAGATAAAAAAAGCAGAAGGAATCCAAAATGAAGAGGAATTTAGGACAAGAGTACACAAGCATGAAGACAAAAAAGACGTGCCCGCCAAACACATAAAAGCAAGGTTTAAAGGAGACACGTGTACAAAGCACAAGAAACAATGCTCAACAATTACTGACGAGCAGAGGCAGGCCATTTTTTATTCGTATCACTCTCTTGGAGATCTAAGAATGAAACGGGAGTTTCTTGTGAGGCATGTCAAATGCCGTAAAACAAAGAGGAAATACACTGAAGGCGAATCACGAAGAAGTAATACCAGACAATACATGCTTACAGTTGAGGAGAGTTTTGTTCCAGTCAGCAAATTGCTTTTCTTTAACACTTTGGGCTTTTCAGAACAGAGCGCCAGGACGGCATTGAACAAAGTTACTTCCACTGGTAGAGCTGAGAAGGACACACGAAGTGGGACACAGTCTGAGGCAGAAAGAGAAAGATATGCATTTGTGCCCAAAGCAATATCAGATCACTTCGACAGATTTCCTGAAGTCGAATCTCATTACTGTGGAGAAAAATCAACAAGAGAGTATCTGAGCCCTGGACTCAGCAAACGGCACATGTACCACATGTTCATCCAGGAATGGATACCCAAAACAAGGCCACCAAGCTTCACTACATACAACCATGTATTCAAAACTAAAAATCTGTCAATCCACCGACCCTATAAAGACCAGTGCTCTCTTTGTGTCAATTATCATCTAGGAAATGAAGAAACAAAGATAGGTCTTGGGGAAAAGTTTGAGATCCATGTGGGAGAAAAAAGAAAAAGGTCAGGGAAATAAAGGATGTATGCAAGTGCAAGAAAGAGGCTCAGGAAAGTGAAAACATTCTCAGTGCAAGTTTTGATTTGCAGCAGGTCATTTACCTCCCTATGTCTCATGAGAGTGCCATCTTTTACAAAAGGAGGTTGTCGAACTCCAACCTGACTTTGTTTAACATTGCTAACAGAGAGTGTTACTGCTTCACTTGGAATGAAACGCAAAGCAAACCTGGATCCTCGGAAATTTCAACTACAGTTCACCGTGCCCTGAAGTTTTATGACGACCATGGCATAAAAAAATTTGATTACGCCTGCGAAGATGTTGTATACAGTGAGCAATAGTGTGAATCTTGAAGAGCCTAGAGATTTCTTTGAGGTTCTTTGAAACAAACCATCGTCAGAATGAGGGTGATTCTGCACACAGTGCCCTGAAGAGGGCTGGGGATTTGTTTCCTCCTTCTCATGTAGCTACAGTGATGTCTTTCGCTCGCCCTCAAAAACCTTACTAGGTGAATCAGATGCAGTCTAAAGACTTTCTGGATCTCAAAGGCTTATCAAAAGACTTTAGAATCCTGGTCGCACGAAGAGGATCTGATACAGAAGACTCATTTTCGTGGAACAATATCATGGAACTGCGAGTTACTATTTTTAAAAATCATATACAGTTGACGCCTTCATATTCCGAGTTGCTGTTAACATCATTTGTCACGGATAATACAGCCGGCGAATTTAAACCAAATTGATCTTTCTTTGCATTTTATTGTTATTTGGAAGTTACCATTTAGGCGTAAGCCACGCAATGAACGTATATATAGTATAATAATATACGCTTTAGAATACAAAAGCACGTACTAACGTATCCAACAATCTAGTAACGTAAGCCACACATTGAGGCTTTCATTGACGTAGCACATAGTAGCGTATCAGACAAAAAGGTCATTTTTCTATTAAAACCTACTATTCTCACAAAGATGCTTCTAGCCAATTGAAAAGTAGTTGGCCCACACACATTATGTCAAAATATTAACGGCAGGATCGGCTATATGACGCCACAATGGGACGGTGAAAATCGCCCAAATCTTTAAACGTCTCTCCTGCAAAACTAACAAAATGTGGCTTATGCTAGTTCGTGTTTTGAGGGACGAATTAATGGTCTCCTTTGGACTTGACACATTTTAACGCGTCGTTTGTAATGTTTATTGGAGGCCAAACACAAGGATCCACTCAACCATGAGTACTCAAAGCCACTTAACACTCTGTATACTTTACAATATGAAGCTGTTTCTAGAGACAATTGGGGGGAGGTGAGGTTGCCGAAATAGCATTTGTTGAGTTGATATAACCTGAAAGGTGTATACAAGCTTTGCCAGGGAATCAAATGCCAAAGAGGAAATGTTCGCACTTTCAAGACGATCGAGCAATCATGAACACATTGCTGTCCTCTGATTGCTTCGCGAACGGGAAAAAGGTAAAGTCGTAGATGAAGATCTGCCTTGAGAACGGGGACCGCTGAGAAGTAGGAAAGTTATTGTTGCAGACATCATCTACGGACAAATGTGTCATGGGGCTTATCTACTGATTTCTGTACCATGGATTTATCTGGGAATTTTTAGTTCTGATTCTCTACTGGTCCTAACTGATGGACTATTTTTACCCTTGACATCAAAGAAGGATTTAAGGGCACTTTAACATTATTTCCGTTCCTTGTGCGAAACTTATGAAATGAGTTGGTGGTGAGGAAATGTTCAATACAAAAAGCTTTCTCCTTTGTACTAATCTTAACCATGATCTCAGCAGGCAAAGGAAACTTGAGAAGACTATCGGCAAACTTCTGTTGGCCTGTTAGACTACTGTAGTTTGCAATATGGCGCAATTGTCGGGATTTTTAGAGGTAGGCCTAATGCGTACTAGTGCCTCATTCTACAAAAATGGGGACGTAGCTGAAAATGGGTTGTTTTTTTTACGAGCTGTGTAGAAATTCCTTTTGGCTTCCAAATATTGTGTATAAATTTGAAAAGCAAAACTTCAGTGTGGAGGAAAATATTAACAAAAAAAGTTTTACTGTTTTTTTTTTTGGATCACCCTGTATTAAAAAAAAAAGAGCACTTTTGCTCACACATTTTCCGAGAAATTTTAGATCAATGCCCTTGTTTTCTTCCAGTGGATGTTATTAAATCTTCATTGAATCATTACTTTTATTTCTGTTGTTCTGTCTCTTGCAGGAGTCTGTGCTTAGCAACTGTTTCAATGTATTTTTCTCTTCTCTCAGTCGATGTTCACAAATTTTAATGGTTGTTACGACTTTTACTATTTCTGTCATTTTGTTTGTTGCAGGAGTGAGTTCCGAGCGGGCCTGGTCCAGGGAGAGAAGCCCGTCATTTTCCCTATCCTGGAATGGCTGTTGCAGAAAGTTCCGGAGCTTCAAAAGCGAGCTTACCTGGCCAAGTTCCTGGTCAAGATCGACGTGCCTCCGGAGATAATGGCGGAGGAAGAGATGTCTGGGATATTCCAGCAGGTGATGATAGTGAATGATAAGTGTGTGGCATCATGGTGAAATCAGATGCTCGTTAAAATAATTAATTTGAAGAAACTGGTATTTCTCCGCTCATTTGGCTGTTTTTATCAAATTTTATGTTTAGGCTCAACACCTTTTTTGTTGTCCATGTAAAGACACATTCCTGTGTGGATTTTACCGAAAAATATTGTTGAAAGGCTTAAGAAATGTAAATGCATAGTTTCCAAGGACATGACAGCTTTCGAAGTCACCAAACTTTGGTGGCCATTTTTTTATGAATTCTACTTCTGACACTTGGCATTCTTACATGGAAGTTGTGTCCTTTTGAGCTTAGAGAACAGACTCTCGGCATTTGCTCTTTTGAGAACTTTGGTCTCTGGTATTTTATCTTGCCGTTTGATTCCAAGAATTCTTCAGAGTCATTTCATGTGGAAATGATTATCTCTTTTTATCCGGGCTACGGTCATGTCAAACAGCTAGCTCTGCTTGTAATTACCAAAATACTCAAAGATGGCAATGCTAGCTCTGTCTGAATATTTAAGTTTTCCAATGAACAGTGGTTTGTTTGTTTTTGATGGGTGTAGAAGCTTGAAAGATGTCTAAAAAAAGTAGAAAAACTCACGTTTCTAACCGCCGAAGTACTTCTTGAAGTGGCGCTGGATTGTGAGGGAGAATGAGACTAATTTGATGAAAGTAACTCTGAATCAAGTGCCGTAATTCCGTTATGGATGATAATGAACAGGAATGAGACTCATCTAATAGCAATTCAGATCATGGTGAAGGCAGGGCTGCCTATATCTACCGATTTTTCCGGTAGATACCGATTTTGGGCCTGTTCTACGGCCATACCAATAAAGCAGTCAAAACTACCGGATTTTCGATGGGTGCCGAAAGAAGGAAAAAAACCAACCCATTCTGCAGTGCTTTCACTCTTCTTTGTTTTTGCGGAAATCCGTACTTGCCGCATTATCATATCACCTCCATGCGTTAGAGAGAGAGAGAGAGAGAGAGAGAGAGAGAGAGAGAGTACTTGCCTCCATAATTTGTCAAATATTTACAGCAGCTCCCAGCAATAAGTTGTATTAGATACTGCTTGATTGCGCATTTCACTCGACCATTGTCTATCTGTGCCGTTCGGTCGGCAATAGTTTTTCACGTACATATCGGCTAAGATCTGTCTATAGAATTGTGAATGTAGAAAGAAAATCGATATCGAAGCAAAACATTCTAAAATATGTCTTGGTCTATAGAATTGGTCTGTACCAAATGAGGATTCTACGCAGGGGGACTGCGGGAATCTGAAAAAAAAAATCACTGAAACCCGAGAAAATGCACAAAGTCCTCGAAACCAAATCTGAGTTCATATTGTACCAGTCGCGTTTGTGATAATATTAAGTTCGGCTTTCCCCAGTCCGAGAGTACGTTTCAGGCAAATTAGCGGCTATGGCAGCAGGCAGAAGTGTAGGTGTACTTTCGCTTTCGTTACCGCTCAGAATTGTCCGGTGATAGTTTGTTAACATTAGATTTACAGTTAATAAAAATTTGCAACATGCAGTTTGTGCATAAAAAACACAGTGTCGCCATACAAATTTAAGTGTAAATTAAATCGATATTCTCACTGATGTCTCAATAATGACAAAAAAGGAAGAAAAAAGGAAACAAGCGTCCTCCGATTTCTAGATTGTCGGGCATGTCATCGTGACCGGTCTCTGAACCTGTGCAAGTTCGCATCGTGTAAGTGTGGCATGCGTAAGGGACCGACCGATGGTTGCTGGGGTAATCAAAGCTCATTCAAAGTAGGAGCGTTGCTGCAGGGCTTAGGAATTGACGGGAGGTGTTTGACACAATAAAGTCTATGGCAGCAGGATAAGGCAGCGATGCGAGAAACTGATGCTAAGATAAAAAAACGATATGTGAAAGTGGTTTTGACATTCGACAATCGAGTGCATAAATGAGAGAACATTAGAGCACTGTTTGATGGTTGTATCTTCAAGGTTGGTGTTCCCGGATTTGTTGGATTTGTCAGTGATGACAAATTGAACAGTGGCAATGAGGAAATGGCATTTTCAACCCTCGGAAAGCTCTATGTTGGATGCCTATGCATCATGATGGCTTGTTGTTAAAAACTGGTACTGTGATTTAGCATTTTGAAAAAAAATCTATATTTAGTCCATGATGCGGTGATGCACTGATTGCCAGGTTTTCAGCATCACTACATCCTGCGCTCTCAGTCTTCCAGCTCCAGCTCTCAGTACACGCTCTCTTTTATTTTCACTTTTTGCTGTGCCGTAAGCCTAACTATAAAGGTTTTTTAAATAAGTCTTGTCTTGCATGCTTTTTAAAATCCATGATTGCTTGCTGAAACCAAACATGGTTTTGGCAGTTGATGTTGTTTTTGCCTCTCCTCAGGCCCAGATCAGGATTCATTTGGTATTTTTAGGGTAAAACTAGTTAAAATTAATTGTCTGTCATACCTAAGTCACAAAGGACTTATCAGTGTCCTATGCTAGTGTTGGGAAATATGTTTTAATATAGTTTCTATTGGTATGGGCTAGGGGTTTTGAAGTCAGTTTGGCAGTCACTCTGCACTCAATTCCAGATTCAATACTGAATGATGGGTGCCTTGAACAATAGTCCATAAATGCTTTAAAAAAAAACAAACTTCGCCTCATTACATACACTGTTCATCGTAACTTGTGCACACCCAAACACCCCCTTCCCCTCCCCACATATATAAACACACACGAGAGCATACGCACATGCACACACAGGCACACACACATGTGCAAACAAGTTTTCATAATATAATTACCCAATATCACGGAAAGCAAGCGCGTCCGATGGGGCAACGATTATCTTTTTTTTCCTTCTTTGTCTTTGTACTACCTGATTTTTTGGGCCAAACTACCTGAAACTGACCCTGAATCTACCTGAAATAGGAACTTTGAGGTAGGCAGCCCTGTGAAGGGTCCAGCACTGGAATTTGTGTAGTACCGATGGGTAGGGGTAGATCTATAAATCCAAGGGGACGTCGTGGGGGCGGCAATCTGGGTCAAGTTGGAGGGTTGAATACACCTCAAAATCTACATGGTGCAATTGGTATGATTCCTAACGGTACTTACCACATACATTTACAAAAACTACACTTAATTTCTAACATAACTGCCAAATTTCCTTAAAGTCTAAGAGTAAATGTAAGAAATGCAGCACTTTGAAAATATACACATTGGATTGCAACTCTTATGGCGCGGCAGCCCCAGAACGGGAACAGAGTCCGTAGGGGTTAGGCCAGGATATAAAAAGAGTTAAACATTTTTGGGCTGTCTTTCTAGCGCTTTTACCTTTTAAAAAATGTATTTATTTTTGTTCCTAGTACGAGGAACTGATGGAAACATTCAAGGAGCTGCATAAGCAGTCGGAGCAGTTGAAAAACTCGGGGTTCAACACGTCGGAGATTCGGAAAGACATCACCAATATGGAGGAGGAGAAGGAGCAGCTCCTTAAGAGAATCGAGAGGCTCAGGAGAAAGGTGATGTTTGTAATTTCTTAAAACTATTTGGACAGTATGATAGTTTGATAATAATCATAATGATAATAATAATAATAAAAGATGGCATTTATATAGCACAAATTCCCGCTCAACTGCACAATCTATATTATTTTGATGAGTTTGTCATATACAAGGATCGCTTCCGTAGAATTACACAGTGCTATCCACTCAGTACATAGTTTTGAAAACTTTGACGCTAAAAATTTGAGTTTTTTATGTCAAAATTTATCTAATGCAATTCTTTGAATATCATGATAACAACTCTGAATAATCTTGCAACTTTGATAGAGCAGATAGAACATTTGATTTCTGACCTCATGGTCTTAGCAACTCAAGATAGAACTGTGTAACTCTAAGTTGCTGTTTGTCCGCTATTTTTACCCATTATTCCATCGTTCTCACAAGAAAAACAGTTAACATTCTGAGCATTTGTTTTCTGTGCAACTCCATAAAAGTTATGTCTTTTGACTGCTTTTTTTTGTTTTTTGTAAACGCTGGTTCGTTAATTTTCAAGTGTTTCAACAAAATACCAGTGGCATCTTGTTAGTTAGAAAGTGTGTACATAAGTATGAGATGGATAGAAATACTTACTGTTGTTAGATGTTAATGAATGTCACTTATTTTCTCCACCTAATTTGTTTATACTAGAGCCTGGAAATACACCGGGTTCCCGCGGCCTCCTTGAATTCAAGGAGTCCTTGAAAACTGCTTGAATTTGCATTCAAGGAAAAATGTCCTTGAAAACTCCTTGAATTTGCATTCAAGGAAAAATCTCCTTGAAAACTCCTTGAATTTTGTCAGATCGGACAGGAACACAGGGTGACTGCCAGGCCCCGGGAATCCTGGGGGGCCCCTGGAATTACCCGGTCGCGATTGTGATATAATATTTTATAAAATTCGTTCGGCTTTTCCCGGCCTGAGAGTACATTACATGAGCACAGGCGGTTATGGCGGCAGCAAGTGGAAGTGTGTGCGATACTGAAGCTCGATCGGGAAAATCAGGATTTACTTTCGTTTTCGTTACCACACAGAAATTTGCCGGTAGGGCCTATAGTAGTCTGATAACGCCACATTTGTAACGTGCAGGTTCTGCATTACAAGCGCTGTGTCGCCATGAAAATAAATCTTGTCCTGTGCTGTCACTTGTGGAAAAAAAAAAGAAAAAAGAAAGGTATACAAGCTTCTTGTTGGGCTCGCCATCGTGACCGGTCATTGAACCTGTGCGTTTTCATCACATTGTGAGTATCGGCGTGAGGTCACCAAAATTCATGTAAAGTCTGAGCGCTGCAAAGTATAGAACTCAAGAATGGGGGGATAATTGATTTTTTTTAAAGACGCGCGCGGGGGAGGGGGGGATGGGGTTGAAGGCAACACCGGATGACAAAAACTGAACTTGAAAGTAGATTTTACTTTTCAGAATTTTGGTTGCTAATATATTAGATCTAGATTTAAATTCTAGAGCTCTCTGCAAAGCGCACATTGGTGCAGGCCTTGTGTGGAATCAGGGTCTGTCACACTCAAATCTTGTAAGCCGTCTTTTTTTTAAACTAAAGGGTTCCCGTTTCATGGGGTAGCTGATAGTAAATTGGGATAATTTGTATTGTATATTCTATATTTTAGCTTTCTGTTCAAGATTCGCAGATTTTCAGTGTCACTGCATCTTTCCCTCCCACAGTTCTTACACCTCTCACACTGAATAAGGTCTCCTTGAGCCATTCATGTTAATATAATGTTACTACTCTACTTTGAGTTTGAGCAATAATTTTTGTCTTCATGTTTGTTGTATAAACCTTGACACCCACACTGGTTTTTGACCGTCCATATTCTGGTTCTAGGCCTTTTCTCAGGCTCAAAGCAAGATTCATTTATATAGTTTATATCTAAGGCGAATATGATGAGGGGAAAATATAAATAAGCATAAGAACAGACTGAAATACCTAAATAACACAGTATCCCAGTGCCACACTGACATGTTGTTGACTGTATATAATGTACCTACATGCGTGCGTGCGCGCATGCGTCTGTGTATATATTATATATAATATATAAATGGAACATGCACTGTCATTGTTATGTAACATGCCCTGAGAATGGATGAGCCCCCCTGGAAAATTGAGAAGCTGGCGGGTTTGCAGTCACCCTGGGAACAGTTTTTGTAGGAAAATCGAAACTAAGATGATTCCTTTCTGACAAGTGTAGGCCTATGGAAAATAGGCTTTCGTCATGAATTTCCGGACCAAATCTCCTTGAATTAAAAAAATTTCTCCTTGAAACCTCCTTGAATTTGATGGGAAGTTCATGGCAGGAACCCTGAATACAGCTCAATAACTTCAGTAGCTAATCAAAAGGCTACACTTGTAAATCATTCCTAAAAATCATAATTGATAATTATAATAATATGTCTTTTAATGTCTGACGATAACTAGTGCATGAGTGGAGCAGAATATTTCTTAAAGAGAAATAGAACAAGTAAGGATTATGATGATTTGTGGATTCAGACCCATTCAGTAAGATTTATGTTGTTAAATGGTAGATTTGCATGTTTTTGTTGGTTTCCCCCCCAGAAACTAAAGGAGCAAGAGTTGTTCTAACTTAAACATATTGTCACTACACTAGAAAATAGCACAAATACAGAGTTGGGCGAAAATGCAACTATTTTTGTTGTGGTTTTGTTTGATGGAACTTTATCTACCTTTGGTAAAAACCCAAACAGAAGTGCACTAACAGTCACAAAAGATACATGCATGGCAAGTTTCACCCAAAAAAAATAGTCTAGTTAAACAGTTTTTTTTCTTTTCATCTCAAAAGTAGCAAAAATGAGATATGTGCTATTTTGCTAGCGCAGTTACGAAATAATGTGTGGGGGGGGGGGGGGGCAGACTCTCTTATTCCATACGGTAAAAAAAAAATCTGTGCTAGAACGGCGTTGTTTTGATGTCACAAATTTTTGACACTTTGCGTTAATTTCCTGGCCTGTTCTTCCTGTAGGTGGAGTCCCATCCCAACTCGCAGAAGATGATGACGGTGGCCAAAAACCTGCGGGTGGAGAGAGACCGAGAGAAGCGACTTGGGACCCAGAAACAAGAGCAGATGACTTCGGTATGTTGGGAATAAACAAACGACTTGGATATGTTGGGAGATAACAAATGACTATGGTAGTTTTGGGGTGAATAAACTACTACAGTATGTTGAGATTTTATAAATGACTACTGTTTCAGTATGTTACGAGTTAATAAATATTGGCAACCGTATGTTGGGAGTTAGCAAATTACTTTGGTATGTTGGGAGCTGTAGCTTGTTCACTTTCGTCTGACCGCGCTAAAAAAGTTGTACTTCATCTATTAATTTATCTATCCCCGCGAAACTTTGAATGGCACTTTTGCAGGCCGGCGACCAAACAAAAACATTAAAAAAAAAAATCTTGCCCCTGTAATAAAAGTTCTTCTTTTCGGGCCCTATATTAAAATCCGCTCTTTGGTTGCATATACAGGATCACTAAAATAACCGTTCATACAAATTGCTCATTTTGAGACAGTGACACCACCCTGCCCTCACATTTCAGGGTTAGCTTGTAGATTTCATCCCCTGGCTGTCTAGACGTCCTCAAGTGCTCCTCGTGACTTATGAAAATTACTCACTCATCTCTTGAATCATGTGTCTTAGGTGTACCTCAAAGTGTGGTGTTGAGGAAAATCTGTCAACTTTTAAATATTTTAGGTGGATACTGTATATTCTTTTTTTTTTTTACCCACTTTTAGCTTACATTAAAAAAATGTGTTTGCAGTGACCTTTGTGAATGGGCTTTTATGTTCTGTTGGTCATCCAACTTTAAGACCTGTATGCTAAAATCTGAAATGATTAAACAGAATGATTTCATTTTATCTTGTTTTAACTGCAATCAGACGAAAGTGAATAAGCTACAGAAAATGACTACTGTACATTGGGGTTTATAAAATGACTTTGGTATGTTTGAAGTTAACAAATGACTGTGGTATTTTGGGAGTGAACAAATGACTTTGGTTTGTTGGGAGTTAACAAACGACTTTGGTATGTTGGGAGTGAACAAATGACTTTGGTATGTTGGGAGTTAACAAATGACTTTGGTATGTTGGGACTTAACGAACGACTGTGGTATTTTGGGAGTGAACAAATGACTTTGGTTTGTTGGGAGTTAACAAACGACTTTGGTATGTTGGGAGTTAACCAATGACTTACATATGGCTCCTTTATACAACTGCCTTTGTTATCACATCATCACCATAAATGTTCTAATAAAATGAGATAGATTTTAATTTTCCACATTATTTTTTCAACTGCAGATCTCACACTTGGATCAGAGGATCAAACGTTTGGAGGCTCAGTTGAGGGATATGAGACAGGCCAGTGTAGGGGCAACGCCTGAGTGTGAGTTCTGTGTGGATGTGTGTGTGTGAGTAGGGGGGAGGGGGGGAGGGTATTTGTGTGGGTGGGTTGGGGGTGAGGGCTATTCAGATGTATGAAGCCCAAAATTTTAAATTTAAAAAAAATCAGTTTTCTTATCTGTGCAATCGGTTGGATGTGCTCAAGAAATATTATTTTGTCAAAAAATAAATACAAGGTTTCTCTCGCACCATGGGGAAAATAATACACTAGGCCTATACAATGGCACAAAAGTGTACTGATATTGAACTGCTCAACAAAGTTAGACCTACACACAGTGAGGACGTCAAAATGTTGTCAACACAAGAAAAGGTCAAAATTGTAATGTTGGCAAGCAATTTAAGCCAGCGAGATCCTGCAGATGAATTCAATCGTCGGCACCCAGACAAGGTTCCCGTCTCCCACGCCACGGTGGGGAGATTGTTTAAGAAATTCAAAGAGATGGGAAGTGTTCAGAATGCCAAACGAACAAACACTGATCCATTGCCTGATAACTTACAGGTTGACATTTTGGCAAGATTTTTGACTAGCCCAACCACTTCAATACGCCAGATAGCTCAGGGGGTGGGCACAAGTAAAGATACCATCCATCGCCTGCTATGTAAAAGTCATTTCTATCCATACAAATTTCAACCTGTCCAGACTCCACGAGGATGATCTGACCCGACGTATGGTGTTTTGCGAATGGGTTTTATCTAAGTTTGATTAGACTGCAGACTTTGGCAAATCAATTCTCTTTTCGGTTGAAGCCATTTTCGACGTTACTTGTGATGGTAATCGTGAGAACAACCAATGCTGGTCACAGGCGAACCTGCACTTAACGGCAGAAAGCAGAGAACAAGGATCAAGTAGAGTAATGGTCTGGTGTGGTTTGTGGAAAGACCGGTTGGTTGGACCCTTTTTCTTCAACAATACTGTAACAGGGGACAGTTAAATTCAAATGTTGGATGAAGAAGCCTATCTATCTCTTGTTACACATGATGGTGACTTTCCTACTTACTTTCTGCAAGATGGAACTCCCCCACATTTTTCAGTCAAAGCAAGAAGATATTTTGATGCACAGTTCCCGGGAAAATGGATAGGTCAAAGCGGACCCATTGAATGGCCTCCAAGAAGTCCTGACTTAACTCCTTTAGATTTCTACTCGTGGAGTCATGTCAAGGCTCTTGTCTACGAAGGCCTACCACAAATAACAAGAGTCAATGAACTCAGAAAGAATCAAGAAAGCTTGCGCTTGCATCTACTCTGCTGTTTTGCACGCCGTGTTTCGTGAGTGGAAGCTGCGACTCTGGATGTGCATCATGCAAGAGGGCATCCATTTCGAACAGTTCCTGTAAAGTGGAAATTAATTAACTGTGTTTTGAACTGTAAGATGCGTTCAATAAATACGCATTTTAGTACTATATAGTTCATGCCCATAATATGTATTTTCCACATGGTGCGTATAGCGGGAGACACCCTGTAGTGAAAGTTGAAAAGGAAAAAAAAGAAAAGGTATGCAATGTTGGTACAATTGTTAAAAGAAAGAAAGTTTTGACTCTCCCCGGAAAAACATTCTTTTCTGGGCTTAAAACATCAACAATAAATTGCGTGTTTAGTGTAAGACTTAACTGTTTGAGTCATTAAAAAAAATATTTTTCAGGAGAAATAAAAATCTGATTCTTCGATTTATTATCCAGTTCATGAAATTCTAACTGCTCTAATGAAGCAACTTCAGAATCATTGCTTTTAGAAGAGCTAATTTTCTTTTTTTTTAAGCAAAGTTGTCTACCGATGCAGTTATCAACGACATGTAAAGAAGTGAGTGATTTTCACAAAAAGTGGCATATAACGGAGCTGTCGAAATAAATATTCATCGGTAGTCTAGTAGTTACGCTAGCGGACTTGTAATCGTGAGGTTGCAGGATTGATGGCTCGAGCCGCAGGTCTGACATTGTGTCCTTAGGAAAGGCACTTTGCACGAATTTCCCTCACTTCAACCAGGTGGGAATGGGTAGCCAGCCATAGACAGCACAAGATCTTGTCAGTATGTTCATGTATTATGGCCTATAAAATGGCATCTTGTACTGTATGCTTCTCAGGAAGTTGAGATTCTTTTTAGAATGCTATCAGGTCTGCTGGGGTAATAATTATAGATTGCAAAGCACAAAGAGATTGCTGTTGAACGGGAATTTGTGTGGATTATTATTATTATTATTTATTTTTATTACTATTATTATTATTAAAACAATTTCTTGTTCCTTTGGCCAGCCCTGATCTACAAGCTGGAGGAAGAGACGCGGGCCAATGGCTACATGGTCAAGGAGCAGCTGCCTAAGGACATTATGCAGCGTGGCAAGATGATACAGAACCTGCAGAAGGTCGTCTCCGTGCCCGCCATGGGCCAGTCTGACCTTGAGGAACTGAATTCTCAGGTGAGGTCGGAGCTACATGCTGTTTTGTATTTAATATATTTGATTATGTTTTTTGGGTTTTTAAAATTTTTTGCTTTTTGTTTTTGATTGTCTTTTTGTTTTTAAATCTGAAAACAAATTATCTTTTCAAAATCATATGAATAATTTTGTTTTGTTGGTATAAAAGTAAATTAGAGTATTTTCTTTTTCTGAGGAAACTCAGGTCTTTAATTTGAATACACCCATCCTCCAAATACAGGGTGATCCCCCCAAAAAATGTGCAACTTTAAAAAAAAATATTTTCCTCCACACTGAAGCTTTGCGGTTCAAATTTGTACACAACATTTGGAAGTCAAAAGGAATTTTTCTGATTTTCATTTGAGATTAATCCACACAATTGTTTTGATCTACACAGCTCATAAAAACAACAACCGATTTTCAGGTTTGTAGCATGACTCACTAGACCGCATCAGGCATACCACTAAAGATCCAAACGATTGCGGCATATTGCATACTACAGTAGTCTAACAGGCCAACAGAAGTTTGCAGATAGTTTTTCTCCTTTCCTTTGCCTGCTGAAATCATGGTTAAGATTAGTAAAGAGCAGAGAGTTTTTGGATTGAACATTTCCTCACCACCAACTCATTTCATAAGTTTTGCACAAGGTACAGAAATAATGTTTAAGTGTCCTTAAGGTCTTCTTTGATGTTAAGGAACTAAACATTCCCGATCAAATGACCATTTCGGGTCAAACACACACTGTTCGCATCCCTTTAAACGTCAGCAGGTTGCAGAATTCAGTAGATGAGCCCCATGAGACGTCTGTCCATAGACGATGTCTGCAGCAATAACTTTCCTAATTATCAACGGTCCGCATTCTCAAGGCAGATCTTCATCTACTACTGTACCATTTTCCCGTTCGCGAAGCTATTAGGGGATTACAGTGTGTTTATGACTCCTCGATCATCTTGAAAAGCGTGAACATTTCCTCTGTGACATTTGGTTCCTTGGCGAAGCCCATATTCACCTTTCAGGTTATGTCAACTCCTCGTATGCTGTCTATTTAGGCAACCTCACCCCCCCCTCCCTTTTGTCTCTAGAAACAGCTCCATACTGTAAGGTGTACAATGTGTGTGGCTTTGAGTACTCATAGTTGAGTGGATGCTTGTGTTTGGCCACCACTGAACATTACGAATGACGTGCTAAAATGTGTCAAGTCCAAAAGAGGACATATAGACCATTGGATTCCAGAATTTATGTAAAATATTTTATTAACTCTGTAGGAGAAAAAAAATTGTTTAAATGTTACAGAGATGGAAAGATTAGATTTTAAAAATTAATGGAAATGAAAAAGCAAACCAATCATCTCATGACTTTCCTTACAAGATCTTTTCAATTCGTGCATTTTGCGTAAAATAGGTGATTTTTATAAAAGCCATTTTCTTTTTCGAAAATAAATGTCTTCTTAGTGAATTTTATGTCAACAAATTTCTTTTGAATGAATTATATCTGTCCCAAATTGCAACATTCTAGGACAAATTTTGTGCAAGATAGATAGAAAAAAAAAGTTGTGCAGTTTTTTTTGGGATCTCCCTGTAGTTGGTGTCGCTCGCAATCCATTTAAGTCCGCCTGGGTACTCTTTACACCAGAGACAAAAAAACAACTAGATTTTGTTGTGTTGTACCTATGAGGTGCATCTTTAATAGAGGTTTGGGAGGGTGTGAAAATCAAAAATTCTCAAAATTTGGACTTAAATGGATTGCTTTTGACAGTGACGAAATGTTCTTCACGGCCACAGTAGAAACACCGTTAACTTTTGGTAGAACTTGCTGGGCTGGCAATTCTGGAAAGCAGCACATCATAGAATAAAGAAGATGATCAGAAAGGCTGCAAGAAGTGTTGGGAGGGACCTGAGTAACTTAACTCATTCGCTATGCCGAGCCGTGGGGGCGTGGCTAAAGTGCCGTCAGTACACTAAGCCGCCCCCGGCGGCTCGAGAACCGATCTTCAATTTTAGCTTAGATTCTATTCCAATCCACATATCCATGTTAAATTAAAGGTCATAATATATTGTTGACTTCCGGGTCAAACATTTCCACTGAAAATCGGAAATTTAGATTCAGTTTTGAAACGCGATTTCGTAGTTTATTCGACTTTGTTTTATCGCAATGCTAAAATTATAGCCGGGACACCAGTCTTAGTAATTTTACACAACAAAATCTATCATTATTTTGCCCACTAAAGAAATGTAGGACTCTTTTTTATAATATTGATACGATTGGACTCATATTGCCAAAGCACTGTTATTGAGAAATCAATTTTTTTGAGTGCTAGATCTAGGTCTAGATCTAAATTGTCAAAATATTTTTTTCTCCCCAAAATCACTACTTTTTGATGAAATTACACAAAAGGTTTATTCCAAATGCAATTCTGAATAATTCCATATAAGATACGAGTGGGTTTTTTTCTGTTTGTGATCGTTTTTCAAGATTATAAAATTTTTAATTTTTTTTTCAATATCGGATGTTATGTTCAAAATCTACAAATATTATGGAATGCAGGTAAATAACTGCAAACTTTTCAATATTTTCCAGTTTTATATTCATTTATGGTTATTTTGATGTATTATTTGACTAGGTGCAAACATATTTTTGGAATTTCACCAAAGATTATTAATTTTTAATTTTCAAATTTTATCCGCATCTAATCAAAATTGTGTTGCATAATCGTCTCTTACAGGAACCAAAGTTGAGAAATACATAAATAATCATTACAGATGTATTTTACAAACCATACTGAAAATATTGGTATATAATACGTTGATATTTATTTGAATATGTGGCCCCAAAGACCTTTTAACTGCCCACTAGTCATCATCTCATTCGCCCTCCCGAAAAAAAATTAGTCCACAAGCCGAAAATAATACGTAGCGAATGGGTTAAAATAACTACTTATTGGACTTGTTGGGCGAAGGAGCTAGCACTTCGAATGTGCAATCAGTGGCGGATATTGATTTGTGTTGAGTCTCACTCTAGAAGGTCTGATCCTGCACTTTGGTGTCCAAAAGTACTGGTGTGCACCTCACATCTTTCCCAGAGAGAGAGTCATTGGCTGTTTTCCTTCGTCAACAAAGATTTAAAAAATCATCATCTGTGGTTTAGCATTGCATTCAGGAGACCTGAGTTCAATTCCCAAGTGGAGAGAAAATATTATCGAGTATCTCGGTCTTTCTGCCGGGAAGTTGTATCCCTTACAGGGTGGTTTAGCCCAGACAGGTCGGGTCTGAAGCCTGTCTCCTAAATGATCTAAATTGTATTGACGGGGGTGTGAAAACACCTAGATTTTAACTCTTTATCTCCGATGGGTGTAAACCCACTACGCCGGGGCCCCTTTTAGGTCCTAAATCTATAAATGACAAAAACGTCATTAAATGGGTCATAAAATCAAAACTGGCAAACCTATTGTGATAGTTCTTCATCTAATGAATGAACTTCTGGTATAAGAGAAAAAGTAATTTGACGTCGAAGTTTTGGTAAAGAAAATGTGCCCGAGCCGCTGTTAGCGGCTCACCGGCACAGTGGTTCCGATTGCAAACCACTGGGAGCGGCTTGCCAGAGATAAAGAGTTAATAGAAATTAAACAATAGTAACAAGAGTTGTTGTTTGGTTTGATTTGACAGATCAATGAACTTAACGCTGAGGTGAATCAGCTGATTGAGAAGAGGATGCGGAGCGGGGAGCCGGCAGATGACAAACTGTCTTTGTTCAGGCAGCAGGTGAGTGATACTAGAGGTGGGGGATACTTGAGGTGAGGGATACAACAGGTTAGGGATATCTTTCACCGTCACCCATCTGTTCAGGATCTTCAAGTAAGATGCATCTGGGTCTATCCTTGCCTCGTTTTGCCTTCAGTTTTACCATTGAGAGCTAGATGTTCAAGGCCCTTAAATGTATTCAAATGTTCCAGAAACTGCATTAATTCTTTGTTCTTGATGGTTTAATTAGTGAGTGGGCTATGTGAGCTTCTTTCAGTATTTCTCCTCAATTTGCGATTTTTTTTTCTTCCAAGAAATTCGGGGATGGTTGGCAGGTACTCTGGTGTGCTTTGCTTCTTCTTTCCTATCAAATATCTATCATCTTTATCTCTCCTCCTTCCTTTTTTGTGTATGTTACTCTCTGGTGACACCTCCTACCTTCGGCACTTATATTACCTTATTGTATTACAAGTGCCCTAAAACTCTGACGAAAACTTAAACTAAACTTATTGAAAAAATAACATTTTTATAGTACAAATTTTTGTTTAACAGCAAGCTGTATGTCTTTTATAACCAATAGTGTTACCCCAGCAGACCTGAAAGCATTCTGAAACAAACTCTACTTCCTGGCAAGTGTACTTCTGAGAAATTCTCCCATTCATTTCCCCACCCTACCCCCACATTTCCTATTTTCACCAATCCTTTTTTTTGTTGTGGTTCCCCATAGGCGGGCATTATCTCGCACAAGAAGGAGGCGGCCGCGGAGACGTTGCGAGCAGCGAGAGACGAGTACAATCAGGCGCAGCAGGAACTGGAGCAGAAGCGAGAGATGGTCAGCTCCACCGAAGGCGCGCAGGTCCTCAAGGGTGAAGACGTAAGCCATGGCTTGTTTTGTGTGCTCGTTTTGTGTTGCCGCACAAATTGTGCCCAAAGTTTTTTTCAGGTTTTTTTTTTGGTGCCAGAAGGGAATGTTAACTCACTCACTGCAGTGCCCGAAGCCTGTCAGGTGATCCGCGCAGACCGCTGCCTGCCAAACCCAAAACTCGTCAGGTGCGTTTTTACTACTATTTTACAAACATTCCTCGACATGTTTCGGGCTTGGCAGTCCGAAGTAGGCGACATAAGCCAGTTTAGTTTCGGTTCCGCATTGTTGCAGTAACTTCCCTTGAATAAGCTACTTAAAAATCTGATTTTTTCGAACGCACCCGAAACAAACTAAAAACTACTAATACTCAGTTATGATGGCGACGGGGTCTCAACGAGGTCGGAACATTTGAATTGATGGACCCATTCGTCAAAAAGGGGTCAGATTTAGATCTTTTTGCAGATGACAGTGATGATGAACCATCATACAGAGTTGATAATGAGTATAGGAAAGGAAATAGGAGAGGTGCGGACACAAGTTAAGATGAACATTGTGCTAGATCTAGAATCGGGTGTTTCCCATGCTCAAATCTATGATCCGATGCTTCTTGGTCCCAGGTCAGGCCTGTCACGCAAACGTCAAAGATCACACAAGGTAGATTTAGACCCCAAATGATAGGAATACAGCTGACATAGACCCTCCTAGGTCTGCACAGCAAACTTCAAGTAGTGACACCCCTCCCCAAGTGGCCATGCCCCGTCCTGCAACCACACACCCTGATGTTGATGCTCAGGATGGGTAGACTCATGATTATATGTGCATGATAAAATTTGTCAGATATCTTTTCATAGTGACTCTTCAACATTTGTCAGTTGATACAACATCTATTTCTTGCAGAGATAAAGATATAAAGGCATGCATATCGACTGAATGTACCAAGCACCTAAATGTTATGTAAAAGGTTTTTTTCTCGATTTTGCCACATATTCACAAACTCATAAAATTTCACACGGTAAAGGTATCACAAAATTTTTTTGGGGATTTGTTGAGTATGTTTCAATGTCATTGTTTGTGGAAAAGTTCAATGCTGTACACAAAATAATAAGCCCACAGTGAGGTTTTGAAAATGGTCCCGAAAGCCTGGCATTCCTCAGTTATCCTGCCGAGAAATGCCTGGCAGTGAGTGAGTTAATGACTGTTGTCAGGGAAAGGGATTGAACCCACTCTTCGCGGGAGTACCATGAAACAGTTATTCACATGTTGGTCACTATTTCTTGTCAGTTTGATAGTGTTTGAGCGCTTAATTAGAGACCAAGAATCATAAGAATGTTCCCGGTTCCGTTTTGGTGATAATATAGATTGTAAAGATACTATATTATTATTATTATTATTATTATCATTATCATTTTATTATTGGATATTGAGAGCGTTCGGTGAAATTCACCTTGTCTGAAAGTTCACAGTCCCAGCGTCTTGTCAGATCACAGGGTGCATGAAGCATTATTGCTAATACAATCTCTGACGAATCTGAATAGATTCATTTTGACTCGGAATTTAAAAATGAATGTATAAACTACATATTCTTTCACTATTACACAAATTTAGCCATTTTTTGGATATTTTACGTGTACACCCCCTTACATGTACATGTTTTACAAGATCCGTCAAAATTTGGAAAATAATTCAATGTTTAAAAAGTTAAAATGTGTCTTATTTTATCTTTTCTTTTTTTATATTATCTCTTATCCCCTACCCCTTCAATAAAGATGTATCTTGTCTTATCCTGTCTCGTTCTCTGACTCCCCAGTTCAAACGCTATGTGAACAAGCTGCGTAGCAAGAGCACCGTCTACAAGAAGAAACGTGCTGAGCTGGCCGAGCTGAGAGCTGAGTCGGGCGTGCTGAGTCGCTCTGATGAGATTCTCAAGCAGAGGAACGAACACATCAACCGGCAGCTGGTCAGTGGTGGTCTCCCTTTCTCCCCCCCCCCCCTTTCCTTGACCCACTTTCTCCTGCACACCTCAGTTCTGACCTAAACTGATAATAGTGACAAAACTCTTCTTTTTTTTTTTTCACAGCAGTTTTGAGATAAACAAGTTTTTAAAAATCAGCATAAACACTTATAAAAGCATTCTTCAAGCTTTGAATTTTAATTTATTACAAATCTAGTTAGTTTCACTGATTTTTTTTCACCCAAGTAGGATGACTGATGTTAAGGTTTAACAAATTAGAAAAATTTAGAGCCAAAAGTGAAAAAAGGCGTTTTGTCAGCTTATGACAGAGCTGTCTCCCTACTCTTAGCCCACTTGCTCCCCATTTTACACTCACACACACACACACACACACACGCACGCGTACGCACACACACGCACACCAACCTCAAACCTCTTGGTGAGGAAGATAGTAAATTTTTTATATGGTTCAGATATATAATATGCTCCTTTTTAACCTAAACTTTGCTTTTCGCATGATTTTTTTTCGTAGTGTTTGTTGGTGTTTCTATGGGTATTGTTTATTGTCCTTATTTTTCCTTGACTGTGAATGATTGGTGGGTGCTCTGGTATGGTTTTCTCATTCTTTCCAATCCACTGCCCTTAGCTCTCCTTTTTCTTTTCTACATATTATGTTACACTCTATTAACACCTCTAATCTGTGGCACGTATGTGATCTATATGTGTTGTAAGTGCTGTAAAACTCTTACTAAACCTAAAACTTTTGTATTTTCCTACTAAATATGCAACGTTCTTATCTCTCCTCTTTCTTTTCTTCTTATATCACTCTCTAGTAACACCTCTAATCATTGGTACTTATATGAACTGTATGTGTTGTAAGTGCCGTAAAACTCTCACTAAAACTGAAACTTTATTTTTTCTATCAAATATGCAGCGCTCTTGTTTCTTCTCTTTCTTTTCATCAAATGTTACTCTCTAGTAAATACTCAAATCGTTGGCACTGTTATGATCTAGATGTGTTGTAAGTGCTGTAAAACTTTTACTATTGGATGGTTGGTGGGTGCTTTGGTGTGATCTGCTCCTTCTTTCCTATCAAGCATCTATCGTCTTTTCTTCTTCTGTTTTGTGTTTAGTACTCTCTTGTAACACCCCTTATGTTTTGCACATATGATTTATTTGTGTTGCAAGTGCCATAGAACTCTTACTAAAACTAAAACCTGTCTCTACTTTCCTTGTCTTGTGTCCCCTCACATGGCTCCAGTCGGTCGTTGAGCGGAAAAAGGGTGTGGCCGGCTATCGTGAGACCCAGGAGGAGCTTGAGAAAGTGTCCAGCATTAAGAGCGACCTTGACGAGATGAAAGGTCGCACGCTGGACGACATGTCGGAGATGGTGAGACGTCTGCACGCTGAGATTGCAGACCGCCGCAACACTTTGGCGCCCATACTGAGAGAAATCCGTCCACTCAGGGAAAAAGTGCAGGTGAGAGTTGGACTTATTGTTTTCTTTTAGTTCAGTTAAGTTTAGCTTAGCTTTGTTTTGTTTAGTTTTGTTTTAGTAAATATTTTATCCCACTTACGACACAATTCGGTCTTACTGGTGCCAAAAATTAGAAGGGTTTCTACTAGAGAGTAACATAACTAGAGAGAAACATACTAAGAAAAGAAGGAAGAGAAATAATAATGACAGGTGTTTGTTTGTAAAGAAGGAGGAGAGATGAGGAAAAAATATGTTTGATAGGAAACAAGGAAGAGAGATAAGGATGAATAGATGTTTGATATGAATAAAGGTGGAGAGATAAGTGCAATAGAACCTCGACATTCTATCTATTTTTTTGTTTGTGGTGCTGTTCAGACCTGACTCCATTGATGCCAGTGATGTGGTGGTTAGGCGCTTTGCTGTTTTCCATGCAGAAGACCTGAGTTCAATTCCCAATTGGGGAAGATTTTGTATTGGGTATAAAGGAGTGGTCTTTCTGCTGGGACATCGCATCCTTCTCAGCCCCGGTTGGTCCTGCAGGCTGGATCAAAAGCCCATCTCCTAAATTATGATCTAAACTTTGGAGATACTGGCTTGAAAACGCACCTATATTACAACAACAATAAATAGATAGATACATTTTATAAAGTTAAAAAATAAAATCAAATATCTCCGTCTCTCTACTTGAATGCGGTACCTCAAACTTCCCTATTCAGATGTGTGTGGGGGGATTGAAACAGCTACTATCCTAAATGCTGTATTATAATAATAATAATAATAATAATAATAATAATAATAATAATAATAATAATAAATTGCATTTAAATAGCGCATTTCCACAAAGAAGTGCTCAATGTGCTGTTCAATAATACAAAGAACATATGCAGCACACAGCTCCTATGGTAATCCTCTTTCTCTCTCTCTCACTATGTCGTTGTCTCTCTGGTCTCTCTCTCTCTCTTTCTTCTCTCTCTCTCTCTCTCTTTCTCTCTCTCTCTCTCTCTCTTTCTCTCTCTCTCTCTCTCTCTTTCTCTCTCTCTCTCTCTCTTTCTCTCTCTCTTTCTCTCTCTCTCTTTCTCTCTCTCTCTTTCTCTCTCTCTCTCTTTCTTTCTCTCTCTCTCTCTCTTTCTCTCTCTCTCTCTCTCTCTCTCTCTCTCTCTCTCTCTCTCTCTCTCTCTCGTACTTTCTTGAGTAAAGACAATCCCAGAAAGCCTACCCAGACACCCTCGCACACATTGATGAATTCACACAGTCTTAAATTCTTACAGAACAAAACGGCATGAATAAACGATATTGAGATAACATAATAGATACTGAGAAAACCTAGTAATATTTGTATTGGGAATGTCGGAAATTACAGATTGAAGCTGGACTGAAACAATTGAGTTTTCAGTGCTGATTTAAATTTTGATAAAGTGGTAGACTCCTGTAGATGAGCTGGTAAAGCGTTCCACAGGGAGGGGGCGTGGTGTGAAAAAGCTCTCCCTCCGAGTCTCTGAATTTTGCTTTCGACATGTCTTAAAAGGTTTTTTCGTTGCCGATCTTAAAGGCCGAGATGGTATATATTCGACGACTATGTCACAAAGATATGATGGGGCAATGTTAATGACGCACTTAAAACAAAGAACAATTATTTTATACTGAATTCATGCTTTCACCGGGAGCCAGTGTAGTTGAACTAGCATAGTGTTATATGCTCTTTGAGAGATTTCTTTAAAATTATGCGAGCAGCTTGGTTCTGGAGTCGCTGTAACCTATTTAACATTTAGTGGGAAGGTTTCCAAACAAAGAATTGCAGTAATCTAGACGTGAAAGGACAAAAGAAGAGAGGAGGGTTTTGATAGAATCAACACTAAGATATGTTGACATTTGTCCTATTCTGCGTAGTTCTAAATATATTACTTTACATAGATAGTTTATATGATGGCGCATAGAGAGTTTGCAGTTGTAATGAACGCCTAGATTTTTCGCTTTATCCGTAAAACAAGTGTTATCATTCCCAATACATATATGGTCAACACTGCAAAGCAATATCCCTGGTTTGGCAAATTGCAAAACAGAACTTTGGTCTTATCATCATTCATTTTAAGTCAGCTTGATATCATCCAGTTTTTTACCTCCACAATACATTTTTCCATGCTGGTAACTAGACAATTGAAATTTGTTGGTAAAACAGATTTGTGCAGCTGAGTGTCGTCCGCATACATGTGGTAGTTAATGTCGTGCTTCCTAATTATTGAACCGAAGGGCTTTGTATATAGTGTGTATAAGAGTGGTCTGAGCACGGACCCTTGGAGCACGCCAAATTGCATGCTGAAAATGGATGACATTTCACCCTTTAGAAGTACAGACTGTGTACGATTAAACTAATAGGACTCAAACCATTCAAGAACAGTCCCAGATAGGCCGAAGCTATGGCCTAACCACCTGATCAAAATGCTGATGGGAGATAAACATGTGTGAGAAATTGATATCTTATCAGTGTTTTATCTTGTCAGTATCATAGTGTTTTAGCACCTGTGAAATGGCAGCTCAGAAAGTTGAGATTGTTTCAAATGACAGTGCTATCAGGTCTGCTTCGGCAATAATATCGATTGTAATAGAGAGTGCCCACATACGCGGTCGGGTTGGATCGGGTAGTCGGGGCTAGCCATATTGAGGGCGCAAAGCGGCCATCGTGGCACAAACCGATCGACTTGGTTGCTGACCTATTAAAACAACCGCTAGCCGTGTGATTCAACCGCCTAAGTGACAAAAATTTCGAAAATCACTTTTTGATCCCTTCCTGTAGTACAGCCTTTGACACACCTTATGTTAAAATCCAGAGTTTGAAAAGTTACCGCCAAGTGTTTCAATCCTTCAATAAATCAATCGCCTATATCACGCCAGTTCGCAATTTCCACCAGATTCAACTGCCCAAGTGCCAGTTTTGCAGCCGGGTTGTGATTGGGTGGTTGAATCAGGCAGATTTATTGGCTTGTTTAGGTGTTCACCTGTCGTGTAGGTAGCTCGACACACACGAAGGTGGCCTTTGTCAAAACAGACTGGAGGGTAACATCAAAACAAAGGGCTGCCTTTGCTGACTTCGACTCATATTGAATCCTATTGACAGCCAGAAGATTTTGTCAATGCAGTTTGTGTAATCTATCTCTAGGTTTGGTAGTGTAGTTGAGAAAGGGCAAGATGGCATCAAAGAATATATTAATACCGACTCCACCAAGTCGGTAAATTGTGGCAAAAGCTACTGACAAATGAATTTGGTAAAAAGTCTATGATTTACAGCTAAGGCGCGCTTATTTAACATTTGGTACTAATATTGGAAAATATTTTTATCACGACTTTTCACGTTTGTTAATTTACTTTAAGTGTGTGCCCCTTGCTGTGTCTGTCAGGTTCCGTTCTGGAATCGTTGATTAGTTGATCAGTGCCGGGTAGATGATAATTTATAGTCACTCGAAAGAAAAAAAAAGCTACCCATAAACATATTGGCCCCGGAAATTCTCTTTTCAACAAACCTTAAACTTCAACTCTCCAGCTCTACACTTCAATTTGAAACAAATGTCGTACATTTTACCTTTATGCAAAACAATGAGTTTGTATACAACTGCCCTCACACAGTGGTTCTTCATGACTGTTGCAAAGACAGTTTACATGACTTGGGGATGGGAGCTCCAGGATTGTCAAATTACCAGAGAGCAGAAAAGGACAAGGAATTTTGTGATAGATAATTCTTCGACAAACTTGACGAAGTTGCTTTCCCATTACTACAGACAGAATACAGACAAAATCTATCTTGACTATCACTTTCAAAGCCTCAAAGGCCTTTATAGAGAGTACCAAAGAAAATGGCAGGAGGCACACATAGTCCGAGACGATTTTAGAGAGATATTAAATATGAGCAACCTGTTGTTGTATGTGTCGGAAGGATCAATGTAATTTATACAGGATAGGAGAAAAAAATCAAATATGAAGCTTGCACAAAACCCAATGGGACCAGTTTATGTCTAGTGTGCATAGACTTGGAAGCGGATTTGTTAGTACGGCATTGAACGCATCTGCTACGCTATATAATAACAGGACCGAATTAGCCGAATTCTTATAAAGATTTGGTAACCAAAGATGTGAAGTGTCACGATTGGCACGAAGGAGGACCATTGATTTCCAATGAATTCTCTTCTTGTGTCAGTAACTTCCTGAAGGAGTCTACTGACAATAAATGAGCCACGTTCATTATAATAGTGACGGCTGTACTTATCAGATCACAAATCTATCTTGTCAAATGCTGTCAGCGACATTTGCACCAGATAAAAACAAAACTGTTGAACACAAATAACTTGAAAAAGCACAAACACAAATACAAGGGAACAGCTCACACAGTGTAATCGAAAGGTCCCTGAAAAATGGTATGGTCTGTGTGCTCATGGATAATCTTGAATGTTTTTAAGAAAGCAAGACAATTACCCCCCTCCCATCTCCCTTTGATGCTCGATTTCTGGACCATTCAGACCTGACTGAAACAAAAACGAGCCTTTTGTCACAAACGTTGGTTGCCTTTGATACACACTGACCAAAAACATCCAGTACAAATTGAATGTTAAGATGAATGGTCTTTTTTACCAACTCCATGAGGCCAAAAACAGTCCTGCACCAGAAGACTCAACTAAATGACTGAAATAGTTACTCTTAACTTTATAATCACTCTTAAAAACGATTATTATTTGCTTTTGTCGACTACTCAAATGGGTAAGTGACCATTTGCGCTCATCGAGTGACATTGATTAAATTGATTCAAACGCCTAGAAGCCGTCATATTGTCACTTAGGCAATTGAATCTCGCAAATTTTGGTAGCTCTAAACAGCCTATGTCCGGTAACTTATGTAAGCAAAGATTTAAAAAAAAAAACCGTTGTTTACGGACCATCAACCTACTTCATATTGTATCATATATCTGAATTTCAGATTCATAGATACGAGCATAACGAAATAAAACAGTTTTTTGCTTCTCCTGAAAAATTTGTCTTTTGGCACTTAGCCGGTTGAATCACGTGGCTAGTGAAACCTGTTTGTTTTCAGGCTTGCGAATCGCACGATTGGGTGGTTTGCAGTCAATCACAACAAAGTTGAGTCTTGTGTCGTTGTTGACACTGAAAGTCCGGTGGCGCCCTCTTCGAAAAAGTGCAGATTTTGCGAACAAAGTACCCTACTTGTGTGAAAAACAATAAAAGCGAAACTAACAAACTGTGCTATTTCTATTCTTCCCCTGGTGAAAGGAAAGAGAGCTTCAAAACCAAGACTGCAGCACCATCTGAACCAATGCGCAGACTTCCGTGGACACTTTTTTGGCCGAGTGAACTAGAGCTATCTTCTTATGAAGATCTTTGATAATAGAAAGTTATCAATGTAACTATTGTAACCATGTTTATGGGATTCTAGGCTGCAACAGGGAACTGCAGAAAGGAGCCCTGGAAGCCTTTGAGGTTAAAACATTCAACTACACAGAGGGTGTAAACCGGGCTATGATTGGCTAAACCTTTGACCCATGAATACATTAAGTAGGCTTATGGTACTCTGGGAATTCCCGGTTGCGGTCGAACGCCACTTCTCATAATGGGTTAGGAGCGCTCATAGAGGAAGTTTCGAGGAAGAAGACAAATAATAAGAAGAAGGAGGATGAGGAATAGTAGATGGAGGAGAAGAAGAAGGAGGAGGAGGAGAACAAGAAGAAAAAGAAGAATTTAGTAGTTACATGTTACAAAATGGGGACTTTTTCGTTTGTTACCCTACCTTGGGAGAGATGGAGAGAGAGAGAGAGAGAGAGAGAGAGAGAGAGAGAGAGAGAGAGAGAGAGAGAGAGAGAGGGAGAGGGAGAGGGAGAGGGAGAGAGAGAGAGAGAGAGGGGGGAGGGGGAGAGAGGTGAGGGAGCAGAAAGCACTACAGAGGGAGGGTGGTGAGATTGACAAGGAGGGAGAGAGATAAGTTGAGAGATATATGCAGAGACTTTGCTAGGTCTCTGATATATAATATGGGAAGTGAGAAATAGACAAGAAAGGAGAGAGACACTAAGGCAAGCAAGCACTCTCACACAGACACACATGCACACACAACACACACACACACACACACACACACACACACACACACACACACACACACACACACACACAGAGGGAGACAGAGAGAAGGAGTGCGGGAAGTCCAAGAGTACCGTAGGCCTACTTAAATGTATTCATAGGTCAGCCAATCGTAGCCCGGTTTACGCCCTCTGCGTAGTCGCATGTATGTCAAAGGTTTCTCTACTTTAACTTCCAGTTTGTCGGGTACAATCGGGGTGAGGTTGTAGTGTATACTGAAACCCCCAGAAAGTGACCGACCCGATCTGCATTCGTTAGTGAGCACCCCCTATAAAGTGTATGGAGCTTGCTGTTGAGCGGAAATTTGAGCTAAACAAATGCTGTGTATTATAATTATTAATATTTTTATAATAATAATAATAATAAATAGCATTTATACTGCGCATTTCCATTTTCTAAAAGATGCTCAATGCGCATTACAATGAAAAAGACATCACATCTTAAAAATTAATCGACACAAATGTGTGCGTAAAACAAAGTATTATACATATAATATAAATGCATATGTGTAAAATTTTATGCCAGAAAAACAGTCTCGCAGTGAGGTTGAAAATGTGTTCACTAAAAATATACAATGCAATATAAATTCACGAACAGTCAAAATACAGTTGAAACGTGAGTAACTAGAAACATTCATTAAAACATTAATTCTATACAGATAGAAAAACATTTCCGCTCTATCTCTCTCTCTCTCTCTCTCTCTCTGTCTGTCTGTCTGTCTGTCTCTCTCCCTCTCTCTCTCTCCCTCTCCCTCTTTCTCTCTTTCTCTCTCCCTCTCTCGCTATCTCTCTCTTTTCTCTCTCTTTTCTCTCTCTTTTCTCTCTATATCTCTCTCTTTTTCTCTCTCTCATTCTCACTCGCTATTTCTTCAGTCTCACAGTCTGGCATACACATGCATATGTATCACAGTACATCATTATGACAGGTATGCTTTTGTGAATAAAAAATGCTTCAGCTGATTTTTGAAAATGGAAATTGTTGGGGCAGATCTTATTTTATATGGGATTTCGTTCCATACCTGGGGACCAAAGAACAAAAAGGAACGCTCGCCGTATGTTTTGTAGTTTTGTTTTGGAGTTTTAAGAATTAGATTGTCAGAGGCTGATCTAAGGGCTCTAGGTGGATTATATAATTCCAGGAATGTTTTAAGATAAAAAGGTGCACTATCATTTATACATTTAAAACAGAGAACGGCAGTTTTGTATTTAATCCTTTCTTTTATTGGCAGCCAGTGTAGTTCTTTCAGAATTGGTGTTACGTGGGCTGATTTCTTTTGTTTCATTATCAATTTTGCTGCTTGATTTTGAAGTACTTGTAACTTTGATAGTTTTTCGGATGTCAAACCGGACAAAATAACATTACAGTAATCTAACTTTGATAAAATGAGTGTTGTTACAAGTGTCTTGTAGTTAAATAATTTCTTACACTGCCAATTTTCTTAAGCTGAAAGTAAATACTTTTGCTGAGCTGGCTTATTTGGGAGGACATAGACATATCATAATCCAACTGAACCCCTAGATTGTTAAGACTTCTTTTTGAACGAATGGTATGGTTATTAATATAAATTTGTAGCTCTGGGAGATTTTTAATGGCTTTTGTATTTCCACTCAACATTATTTCCGTCTTGTCGTCATTTAGTTTCAATTTATTGCTGGTCATCCATATTTTTAAATCTCTAGTACATTGTTCAGTAGAGTCGACTAAAAGTGGTATTTGATCGAAATCAATAGACTTATAAATTTGAGTGTCATCAGCATAAAGATGGTAATTCATGCCATATTGTCTTAAAATATCAGCAATAGGTTGTGTATACATTGTAAACAAGACAGGTCCAAGAACAGACCCCTGAGGAACACCACATCTAAGCAAAACATTATTAGAACACGTGTTTTCAACCACAACCCCTTGACTGTGCTGTAAGTGTATCTTGTACATCTCAATAATCTGCCACCCAGCACTGTGTAAACATATCTTTTAGTGCGGCTAAAACCCATGTTTTATGGCTTGTTCTACGCTGGTCTTGTCAATGGATGAATTTATCTCTGTATTACTCTTTCTATTTAAGTAATTTTAGCGATCTGTCTCTTATAATAAGCGAGCAAACGTCAATGAAAGATTGTGACAGGTGATGTCTTGTGCACGGTGGAATTTTCCTTAGCATGTGAGGTGTATATTCTGTGTTAGCAGTTAAGGGGTGGATTATTCTCAGGAAGTTGAGATTGTTTCAGAATGCTATCAAGTCTTGCTGGGGTAATAATAAAGATTGTAAAGCGCATAGAGCTTGCTGTTGAGTGGAGATTTGAACTATGCAAATGCCTATATTATTATTATTATTATTATTATTATTGTCTTTATTATTATTATTATCATTACTGGGGGGGGGGGGGGGGAGTGGTCATATCTGATTAGAAGTTCTGATATTCATTTTTTAGATTAGATTTTTAAAAAATTGTTTTTCCTCATGTGTATGTTGGTGCCAGGACCTGACCCCGGAGTACGAGAACAAGAAGCAAGTGTACGAGCGTCAACAGGCCGGCTTTGACAGCAACATGAGCAAACTCCAGCAGGAGGTCAAAGGTTACCAGGAGGAGTGCAAGGCCGAGGAGTCACGCTACCACTACCTGCACTGTATGATGAAGGTAAGCTAGGGGTTACCAAGGAAAGATAAGCCTTGGGGTTACCACTACCTGTGCTGCATAATGAAGGTAAACCTTGGGGTTACCACTACCTGTACTGTGTAATGAAGGTAAGCCTTGGGGTTACCACTACCTGTACTGTGTAATGAAGGTAAGCCTTGGGGTTACTACTACCTGTAATACATAATGAAGGTAAGCCTTGGGGTTACCACTACCTGTACTGCTTAATGAAGGTAAGCCTTGGGGTTACCACTACCTGTACTGTGTAATGAAGGTAAGCCTTGGGGTTACCACTACCTGTACTGTATAATGAAAGTAAGCCTTGGGGTTACCACTACCTGTACTGTGTAATGAAAGTAAGCCTTGGGGTTACCACTACCTGCACTGTGTAATGAAAGTAAGCCTTGGGGTTACCACTACCTGTACTGTGTAATGAAAGTAAGCCTTGGGGTTACCACTACCTGTACTGTGTAATGAAAGTAAGCCTTGGGGTTACCACTACCTGTACTGTGTAATGAAAGTAAGCCTTGGGGTTACCACTACCTGTACTGCATAATGAAGGTAAGCCTTGGGGTTACCACTACCTGTACTGTGTAATGAAGGTAAGCCTTGGGGTTACCACAACCTGTACTGTGTAATGAAGGTAAGCCTTGGGGTGACCATGTGAAGATAAGCCTGGGGCTACCACTACCTGTACTGTATGATGAAAATAAGCTTTGGATTATGACACTAAGATAAGCCTTGGGATGCCCCATAAAGGTAAGAGTTGCGTTGTCACTATTTACCCTGTATGATGATTGTAACATTCATGTGATCACCACCCTACACTTTATTACATTTGTCATCATGTTCTGTTGTAGCAACAACCCAGGAGACATTTACTGTACCGGCTAGCTGTGGACTTCTTCTTCTTTTTCTTCTCAATCGCATTACACTTGAAGTCTGGTATCTACCAGATACTGGGGTACCTGCTCAGTTCTTCTGTCGGCATGCACAGCTTCTCTCGTAGTGTCTCTTGGGTTGGCCACGTTTCCTGTCTCAGGGCCATGTGTGTCCTGCACTGATGAAGGATGTGTGTGTTTGTTGTGTTGTGTGTGTGTTTGTTGTGTTGTGTGTGTGTGTGTGTTGTGTTGTATATGTGTGTGTGTGTTGTGTGTGTGTGTGCGCATGTGTATGTGTTTTTCCTGTCTCAAGGTTCTGAGTGTCCTGCAATACTGAAAGATGTGTTCCACAGTTTGGTCCACTTTTCCACCCTGGCATTTTGGTTTTTATACAAATTTAAAACATGTGTACATGTGTTGTCTCAGTCTTGAGTGTGAGTGGGTGGTTGGCAGGTGCTCTGGTGTGGTTTGCTTCTTCTTTCCTATCAAACATCTATCTTATCTCCCCTTCTTTTTTATGTTTCTTACTTTCTTGTAACACCTCTAATCTTCTGCTGCTCATATGACCTTATGAAGTTGCGAGCGCCGTTAAACCTCTACTAAAACTAAAAACTAAGTCTTGAGTGTTATGTTCTTTGTCTGTGCTGTGGACTGTAGCAGAACTTAAGATTAGATAAGAAAAGATAAGGATAAACGTTATTGACTCAGGAGGGACATTTTTGGTGTATATTTAAACCAAATTGCTGTTCTGGGATCAATCAAAAATAAAAATCTAATTAAATATACCACAGCTTAAAATGATGGTCTCTCATAGAATAGCAATTGGGAACAGACAAATGTCGGATATTTTGATGAAATCAGGGGCTTGGCAAAATGATGAAATTGAAGAAACCAGCATTTTTTCACTCATTTAGCAATTTTCATTAAAATTTTGTTTTTTGGCCCTACAGACATTGGATTGATTATAGGCACAAAAAGAAGTAATTTTGCAGTTTCCAAGAAATCTCAACCTTTGTAAGTCACCTTCACCTAACTTCTTCGTTGAAAGCAAAACAAATGAACTAGCCTGAAGATGGTATCACTTCACAAGCCCAAACATTTATGAAAGCCTGATTCCACTACATTGTGACACACATGCAATTTTTGGGACACTTAAATGGACATAAGGGCCTTGAACATCTAGCTCTCACTGGAAAAATTGAAGGCAAATGAGGCAATGGTGGACCCTGAGCAACTTATTCGGAGAACCTAAACAGATGGGTGATGGGGAAAGATCTAGATAATGCAGGTTTTTTTAAAGAGCATCAGTGCAAAGGAATGAATGGAGAACTATGTGGGTGGTTGGTGGGTGCTCTTGTGTGGGTTGCTCCTTCCTTCCTATCAAACATCCATCATCCTATCTCCCTCCCCTCCTTTTTTGTGTTTGTTGCTCTCTTGTAACACCTCTGTTTTTCAGCATTTACATAGTTTGTGTTGTAAGTGCTGTTAATTTCTTAGTAAGACTTAAGATGTGTAGACTGACCTTGACCCTGCTCTGTAAGTAGATGTGCTGGTCCTCAGGTGTTGCAGACGCAGCAAGCGAGGGTTGCTGCAGAGATGAAAGCTTACGTATCGTCGGATGTACAGGAGAAGAAGAAAACCTTCCGGTGAGCTTGATTTGTGTGCGTGTGTGTGTGTCATTCTGTTTTTGTTTATGTGTATTTGTGTATGTGTGTTTGTGTTCGTGTGTGTGTGTATGTATGTGAGTGTGTATGTGTGCTTGTTTGTATGTTTTTGTGAGTGTGTGAGTGTTTATGTCTGTATATATATGTGTGTATATATGTGTTTGTATGAGTATGTGTGGGTATTAAAGCCTGTTGACTAGTATAAATTATTTTCCCCCACCCAGAGAAACGTACTCTAAGAAGATCCAGGAACAGGAGAACCTGAGCCGTGGTCTGCGGGAACGACAGAAGACAGTGAGGGAGAACCACGAGCCAAACATGAAGCAGATGAAGATGTGGAAGGATCTAGAACGTCTGCTGGAGTGTAAGAGGTCGTGTTTGGAGCAGGTTAGTGTCAGTCAGAAGGTTACAGAGGGGAAGGGGGGGGGGAGAGGTGAGGAGAAGGGGGGAAACGGAAAGAGAAAGGGGGGGGCGGGGAGAAGGTTGGAGGATAAAGGGAGGGAATGCCAAATTTGGGTTGAGAATTCTTAGCCAGGGAAATCTTTATGCATGATATCCCAGGCAAAAGGATGATTAACTCAAGTTCTTTATACAATTGGTTAAAAAAAGGGCACCAAATATTTTGAAAGAATTCATGCCTATTTCTGCATAGTGTGCAAATACAGATGGTCATTACAGATGGTCTAGATTGTTTAAAAAAAACATATTTTCAATGTTATCAAAATTATTTATTTTATTCGATTTCCAGGCCTTTAGCTTGAAGAAATTTGGAGTTGGCCTGTTTGTACATGCTGCTGCTGTTGTTGTTATTGTTGTTGTTGCTTCTTTTTCTTCTTCTTATTGTTATTATTATTTTTGTTGTTGTTATCATTATTATGATTATTATTGCACTTGGTGTCATTATGATTCCCCTATTTTGTGGGTTGCATCCGCAGCTGTCGAGCATCGGTGCCAGTTCTGGCTTGAACAACATGGGGGGCTACGGGGAAACAGCGCCCACACACCTGGAGAAGGATAGGCTGGTCTTGTAAGGTTGTAAGAGGCACTCACTCTTATGTACCGACACACACACACAAACACAAAGACACACACATATGCACTTATACATATGCATGCACACACACACACACACATACACACACACACAAACGCACACACACACAAACACACACGAACACCTGACCTTGAACCCTGTTTTCTTTTACATCCGTCCATTTTGCTTTGTTTTTGCACTGCAAATTAGCCGTCCATTTTTGTGGGTATGAAAGCTTTGGATGCTGCTCATTTGTTTGTAGTTGTTAGAATATTGTGAATGGTTTAGTTCACATGGTTTTTCTTTTTTTTTTTCCCTTGGTTTGTATTTTTTTGTCTGTCTCCTGTTTAAATGGATGCCTGATGTTGTTTAAGTGAATTACATGTCCTTGATATTGGGTGTGGTGGTTAGACATTGTTATGGTGGAATATCGCTGAAAAGGTACTGCTGTTATTGCCTCTACTGAAGAAAGATAGCAATATCTGCCCAAAATGATAATGGTTTGACAATGCCGATGATGATGATAATGATGATGACAGTGATGATGATGAAGATGATAGTTGACACATTCATGATCAGTTGTAATGTTTATAATTGTGTTTTGTTTAGGAGCTTTTAGTCTGTATGTCGTATTTACATAAGGCTCAGGAAATTGATTGATTAATTTGTTTCTGGGTTTGCTTTCTGGGAATTTTGACAATTGACATTTTGTCAGTGTCTCTCACTATACATTCCACAAATAATTTACATATATATATATGATTTTAATTGTGTTGATGGGCGTGTAAAAACACCTACGTTTTATTTTTTAAAATGCTCCTTGATGTCTTTATTTCAATAACGGCTTGATCTGTACCCTCCCCCCATTCAGCCCAAAAACTGAATTGAAGGATCTTGGAATGTTCTCTGATAATGTGGATGTTGAGAGACCTTGCTGGGGTTGGTCTCATCTCATCGCCGTCATTCAACATTGTCATATCTCAAAATACGAGGTTTTTAGGAGTACAAAAAAATGTTTTTTAATTTGGCTCAAGACACCGTCTTTACAGAAAATGTTGAATTTGTTTCTCTCCTCTACTCTTTCAAGAAGAGGAATAAAACTAGGACCAATTGATTCACCTGAGCCAACTTAAAACATTTGTAACTGGGTTTGTTTTTTTCATAATGTAGAATAGAGATGATGAAATGCAATAGATGTTGGGATTTAAGGCCTGGGCTTTCAGATACGTTGAATTTGTAGAAATAGGATTGAAATCTTAACCATACCACGGCTGTTACTGTCTGTGTACACATGTGTCCATGTGTGCATTCAGTTACGGACTTTGAAGACTGAAATAAAAACCTGTGATAAGTTGTATTCACTCGTCTGTGTACAAGCGTTTTTTACTTCTTTAGTACAAGTACGTGTGCAAGTCACTACCTTATAATTACAAAGTTATATCTGATATTTTTTGGCTGTTTTGAGTTACTAAGACTATGAGGACTATTCTTTGACATTTTTTAACCATGGGGTAAGAAACCAAATTAATGTTCTGTCTGCCCTTTCAAAATTGTAAGATTATTTGGAGTCGTTATCAAGATATTCACAGAACTGAATTTAAAAGCCCAAGACAATGTTGTGAAACTCAAACTTTTTAACTTCAAATTTCTCAAAACTAGGTACTGAGCAGATAGAACTTTGTAATTCTAGGGTAGCGATGTGATGCACCTTCAATAGGTCCTACTTCTTTACTTTCCCTGTTGTCTCTGTCTGTTCATTTCTCTCACTCTTTCTCAGCCGGGCTCACTGAATGATGGCTACCATGTTGGTGATTGCTTCTCTTTACTCAAACAGACATTAGTGGGTGGTTTGCAGGGGCTCTGGTGTGGTTTTCTCCTTCTTTCCTATCGAACACCTTTCTTCCTTATCGTCCCTGCTTTTTTTGGATGGGTTGTTGGCGGGTGCTCTGGTGTGGTTTGCTCCTTCTTCTGTCCCCGCAGAATTATGCGAATTTAGACACCTCTAATCTTCAACACTTATATGGCCTAATTGTGTTGCAGGTGCCGTAAAATGCTTACTAAAACAAAACAGACATTATAGTTTATACATCATTGCCGGAGAATTACAAAGTTTTATCTGCTCTGTACCCAGTTTTGAGAGATTTATTGTTAAAAATTTTGAGTTTAACAAAATGTCAAGCCTTTTCGAATTCAATTCTTTGAATATCTTGAAAACGACTCCTGAATAATTTCATGATTTTGAAAGAGCAGACAGTACATTAATGGGTTTCTGACTTCATGGTCTTAGTAATTCAAAACTGCCCAAAATGTCAGATAGAACTTTGTAATTGTGAGTTTGCGACATATTGAACTATTGAACACACACGAACTCGGCTGGTGGTATCAACTGGCGTCTGTGGTGTGAGAAGTGGTTAGATGCTTCCTTGTCGCTCTCAGTACCCGGTGAGGAACAATTTTTATTGAGTATTTCGGTCTGTCTGTAGGGAGGTTTTATCCCTCTCATCCCGGGTCGGCCCTGACAGACAGGCACAAAGTCCGCCTCCTAAATTATCAAAATTGTGTCGATGGGGATGAAAAATACCCACATCAAACAATTAAAAAAAAAAGAATCATGCGAAAAATTTAAATGCAATAAGCAGAGGAGACTTGGGACCATGAGATATCTTTGCTGGTGTACTGTAGTTTGTCCGTCAATGTCTTTACAAACAAATGGTGAGTTGGTATAGGTTAAATGCCCCTATCAACACTACGGACTTATAATTCACAATATACCTCTGCAAAAAAGCTCACTCTCTCACTTCATCAGATAATGTTGTTTACCTGAGGACGGTAAGAATGTCAGTTTTTGCCACATTGAGTCCATGTTGAAGGGCTAGCTGGCTAGAGGTACCACCGGAGCCTCGCAGTCCCTGCTGACAAGTGTTTCGGTTTGGAGTCCTGGGCCAAGAACATCATAGGTGGGTTGCTGGCGGGTGCTCTGATGTAGTTCACCTCTTCTTTCCTATCAAACATCTATCATCTTTATTTCTCCATTTTTGTGTTTTTTACTCTCTTGTAACATCTCTAATCTTCGGCACTTGTATGACCTTATTGTGTTTCAAGTGCCGTAAAACTTTTTACCAAAACTATAGAACATCATACTCTGTGTTTGCCCCATGCCGTAGCACCAAGGCCAGTATGACAATTTGTTGCTATCCACAGGGTTCCCACCAAGGCAAGCTTAATTTATCATAAGATAAGCTTGTCTCGGTTCCCACTCAACCGAGAAAATAGGAAAAAGCCAGGAATTTCATTTTCAGATATTTCTGCCGCGAAAACACAATGGAAGTTAATGAAAACGAGACTATATGAGAGAAAGTCAGGAATTCAAAGGGCTGCCCATCAGAATGAATTCGGCTGACTTGTTTAGGTGTTTTAAACTTTTTTCCCCCTTAAATTGTATGAAAATATGATCGTAACTTCCTACAACCTCTCATTTTTGTATTTTGGTGTTGTTAGCGATCCAGTAGCATCTGAACGTTTACTCTTCTGCATGATGCATTCTGTAATAGCTGCATGTCTGTTCTAATTGTTGTTTTGAGGAGTAGAAGCAGTTAGATGTGTGGGGTAGCTTGGGAAGAAAACGTCCCCTTAAATCAGTTAGTTTTCCGCTGTCTCTGAGGGGTAGTTACATAGTGGGCAGGCCGCAGACTGCTTTACTGCAATTCGGTTGAGATGTTGATTGAGGGGTACATGTTGTGTTCTTAGTTGGAAGATTATGGATTGATCTCCCCTTTTCAACTCACGGATTAGATCTTTGACCAGTGGTTTATTCATGTGGCCATACATCATCCTTCCAGTCGTACCTGTGGCCCAATCGTTCATCCAGTCTTCCTTGAGGTTTGACTTGATCATTTGGCAGCAGGTGGTGTAATCTGTAGGAATATCAGGCTGAGGGAGGCTAGCTCCTTTCTTTGCTAGAGCATCGGCTCTTTCATTTCCCGGTATCCCAGTGTGGGCAGGAATCCATTGTAGGACTACTCTGATCTGGTGCCTACTTTTCAAAGTATGTAGACTCCAAATCAAGAGCAATATCTTTGTTCACATCAGTCCCACTCTCAAGTGTCTCTAGTGTTGAAAGGCTGTCTGTAAATATAACGATGTCTGTGGTAGCAAGTGGGTTAGTGTCAAACACGTAGTTGATGTAGTTTGCTGTGTTGGTGATAGCTTGTTGTTCGGCAATAAAATTGGAGCAGAAGGGCCCGCTGGAATTAAAGACTTCTTTTTTTTTTATCCCGTTGGGCAAGTTGGTCACTGACCCATATCCAGCACTGATTGTTGCCTTAAAAGCAGATCCATCAGTGTATGAGTGGATCCATGTTGGTGGATAGGAATCAATTGTTTCAAGGGCGGAATATTTTAGTGCCACAGGATATGTGTTTTTATTGCTCTTGTCCAAAAGCGTTTTCCTAATTTCTGGCTCTGCCATGGTGAGATGTGTTGGGAGAGTTGAGGGAACTCTTTCCAGAGGTTCTCGTCTTTCAGGGAGGCGATGTTTTTCTTGGAGATTGAGGACAGTGTCATCAAGTACAGATTTTGTATTTTTTAGTCTTTGATTAGGTTTCACTTGTCAACAAGGATTCTATTTAGGTGGTTATTTTCTAGCCTTTTAGATATTTCATATACTTTTAAAGCAGCCCGTTTTCTTCGAGTTTCTAATGGCTCAATATGTGCGGATTTCACAGGCCACAGTCGGTGAGGATCTCATTCCGCTAGAGATAAGACGAAGAGCTTGGTTATAAATGGATGGTGTCCATTGAGTTCTTTGTAGTTTTACTGCAAATGTTTTGTAGAACAAGATTATAATCAAAAACAGCTCTGGTATATTCTAAATAGAGGCCTCTCATGGCGTTCTTGTCTGATCCCCAGTTGGTACTGGCTAGTCGTTTGATGAGATTAAGTCTCTTCATAGCCTTCTTTCTAAAGTTGTTGGTGTGCTGTTTCAAGTTGAGCTTGCTGTCAAGTTGTACTCCATGATACTCTGGGTTATTCTCCTTTTTCAAGCTGGTACCATCTATTTTGAGAGGGATTTCTGCATTTGCAAGCTTCTCGTAAAAACAGAGTAGACAGTTTTTTCGCAATTTACTTTCATCTTCCTTAAACGGCAATAGGTTCCAAGGGAATTTAGATCATCTTGTAGTCTTCGTCTGCTTATTGTTGTCGAGTTTCCAGTGTGTCAAAGGAACAGGTCATCAGCAAAAAGGGCTTTTTCCTCTTTTGAGAACAACTGAAACATCATTGAGGAAGACAAGGAATAAGGTACAGCTGATAGAAGATCCCTGTGGGAGTCCTTCCTCAAGTAGGCCTACTGCTTTTGAAGATAGGGTTCCATCCATCTGGGTCTGGATAAGTCTATCTGTAAGGAATGATTTAATCCAGGAGTACATATTTCCTTTGATTCCCATGTTCTACAGTTTTAAGAATTGTCCTTTCCTCCACACTCTATCGTAGGCTTGTTGGAGATCCACAAACACAGCCGTTGTCTGTTCCCCTCTTTGAAATCCATTAATGATTTTCTGTGTAAGCCTGAAGAGCTGAGGTCTTCTGTCCTGTCTTTAGACCTGAACCCTGCTTGACACTGTGAGATCAGACCTGAAGACTCAAGCCACCAATAAAGACGAGAATTGAGGATTATTTCACAGAGCTTGCCAACACAGGACGTGAGTGATATTGGGCGGTAGTTTTTATGGTCATTTGCCTTCTTTCCTTTCTTTAAGATTGGGTTTATAGTAGTAGTTAGCTAGTTTCCATGCTTTAAGCAGATTTCCCTCAGTACATGTTCAGTTATAAAACCCCCCAAAACCGCACTTTTTCCGATACCGGGCATGTTCGTCACCACAATTTCCTCATAAAGTCAATATTTTATTTTTATTTTTCGGCCGTTTTCTCAAAACGCTACTTTTCTCTATTCTTTTTTTGAATAACTCCACCATTTTTCATCCAATCTTCATGAAATATTCGCCGAATGAAGAGAAGATGTAATACTATAAATTTGTGTGTTGAATTTTTTATATATGGGATAGATTTTTGTTGGTGGTGTCTGGAGTGTGGATTTTCACTTGAATGCTACCTCAGGAAAACATTCATTAAAAAATTTTCTAATTCGTTTAGGAAAAAAACAACAGACAAATTTTTAGATGTAATGTTTGTTAACACGCATGCAACCCCCAAACAATTCCCATGTGCAATAAGGGGGTATTCGTTACGTAAGACATGTCAACGAAATCCAATATGGCCGCCGTATCCATGAAAACAAAACATTTTTCTCAAATTTGATTGCAGATTTTAAGACTTCTTACTATGCTTGTTATATGTGTGAATT